GTGGAGAAGATCAGAATCCAAGGGTAAGTGAGCTACGAATCTCCCTCGCACCCGGGCATTAACGCTGTCCGACCTCCTTTCGGGGGCCGGGTGTTTGTTGAGTTTCGAGACGCCATGCCATTTTGGGCATTCGGCGCCGGGGCTCCCCACCCACCTCGGAGCCGAGCTGGGGGACGGCCCAGCCCTCTCCCGGGAAGTGGTCACCGTCACGGTTATCCCGGTGCTATACGGGGCGAACGACGCCTCCCACACGACTAGGTGTAACCGGGGACACCCCTCCCCGTCCTGACCGCGGTTCAGCGCCCTCGCCCCTTGACCCCTTAAGCCGCTGCGCACGACAAGGCGCCCAAAGCAGAGACCCGCACGGAGTACCCAGGCGTAGCATGAGTGACAAGCCGCTAGACCCATGTTGCGCCCCACGGGCCCCACGCACTACCGAATATCCTGGCCAAAGTGGAGTGCTGGGACGTGCCGTGACTGGCCCGCGTGACGCGCCCCTCAGCCACCAGGATCCGATCAACCCGGCGACGAGGGCGAGGGGACACAGCGACCCCGACAAAACGAGGGTCAGGAATGGCGATAGGGCCGGATGCGGGAATGCGGATGATGGGGAGGGAGCGGGCGGAACAGGGAGCACGAGCTCACGTACCGGCAAAGTCGCTAGGCCCTGAAATGAACATTTTGCGCTGTCCGCTCGCTACCAGAGCTGGGACCCGACGGGGCGGTAGTCATCTACGCCGACCGAAGCCGGTGCCCCTGCGGGGTATCATTGTGATCCACATGTCTTGCCCCTATACCCTGCCTTACAAGAGGTGGGGCACCAACAATAACTGCAGCGATGCAACGATTCCAGCAGCAGGTATCATCTGTCCCAGCTCTGGCCTGTCCCAGCTCATGGGTTATCTTGGTGCTGAGAGAGAGAGACAGACACAACTCCACGACCAGACCAAATGCCAGGGTCGGCGTCCGAGCCAGCTTATAACTATACATAACTATATACCATATGTATATATATATATATATGTATATATGTATATATATATATATATATATATATATGGTATATACATATGGTATGTATATGGTAGATACGATATATGCACAGAGGCCTGCGTGTGTTTGTCGGAGATCAAGTATTCAGGACAGTAGTAATAGACGCATTCCTCGGAGAAAACCAAGAGAATGGAGAAATAGATGCGTTGATATTTCGGCAACATGCCTTTGTCGAAACCAATAGCAGAAGTGAATTCCTTGCGGAAGTGAACAAAAGGAACCGTATTATGCATCTTCCATGAAGCTGCTAAGTGCCAGAACAGGTCACTGATACAAAATGACCCAGTACAACCTTTTCCTAGAAAAGTAGTACCCAGTGTAGTCCATGCCGCTCAAATACAAAAATCAAAACAGTCTTGTGTTATTTTGGTCACCATGACCTTCGATAAGTCACGCTGTCACTGTCCTGAAATGACCGCAATAACCTTTTGCTTTTAACAGGTATTTAGGTTCAACGTGGTTGCATGAGAAGGTATGGGGAACGTGGCTCACCAACCCAGTGTTTGACCTTGTTTGGCCTTACTTGACCCGAAGGTCATGACCTAGGAAATTCAAATTGTGAAACAAGTGAGTTTAGGCATATGCTAACGCTCTCCGTGCATTTGGTCTCTCTAGCTCCCTTAGTTGCCGAGATTTGATTGGGGTCAAACTGACCCCTCCACCCGAGCAAGGGGCATTCAACTGGCCACCCGAGAGCGTGTCAAGGGGAACAAAGCTCCGTCCTCTAAGCCAAGCCGAGCTTCGAGTCTGCTTTAAATTCAAATCTGAACTAAAGCACCAAAAGCTGTTGAAAAGGCAATGATCAAAATAGGATAATGCTGTATACATCAAGTTATAACAGTAAAATTCATTTTCAAAAAATGGCGTTCAAATTCCATGAGTGCGGTAATGGTATATATAAAATGCTATATACTGACTGCGTCACGCAAGGCACATACATACAAAATGTTTCAAGGTGAGCAACATATATATGTGATATGTGACATATAATATGTGAACATATGATATGTGATATGTGCAGGGCCGTGTCTATTTGCGCTTTAAGTTACTGCAAAAACACTACGGTGAGGGTGGTGATAGTCATTTACGTATAGCGTACAAACATAACAATCGAAACTGAGGAACTTCAAATATTGCATTGCAGCACGTAGAAGATCGCAATTCAAGATCAGTTTTCATCTTTCCCGTAAAATGTGCGTACTATCCATAAGCAGTTATTAGTAATCAATAATAGTACAATATACATAAGTGTAATATTCACAGGTTGCTAGGCACCTGATGATGTTAGGCCACCTCCTAATACAGCCTTAAAAATCTGGACACGGGGACATGGAAGACATTGAGTTAAGAGGCGCGGGAGCCTTCTCCCAGTCAGGGGGAAGATACGCTACAGAATGCCAAAATGGGCCTCTAAGATTAGATGGCGGGCCCCTGCAAGCCATTGGGTGCCCTTTAGAGTCCATAACGGGCACTCGTCAGATCAGAATGGGCCCCATAGGATCAGCATGGGCTGTGCGGGACAAAACATGCCTTCCACAGTCAATAATGGGGCTTCCACAGGTTAGAATGGGCCCAGTACAGATCAGAACGGGACCTCTTTTGATCAGAATGGGCCCGTTATGGTTCAGACCGGGCCTTCTACAGGCTTGAATAAGCCCCTATACACGCCAGGAATGGGCGCTCCGTAGTCGGAAACCTGCCCTCTAGATGTTAGAACGGGCCCTCTACGGGCCAGAGTGGGCCCTATTCAGGCCAGAATGGGCTCTCTATAGTCAGTAATGGAACCACTACAGGTCAGAACGAACATTCTACAGACCAATATAATGGGAACTACATTCACTAATGGCTCTTCTACGAGTCTAAATGGCCCCCACAGATCAGAATGAGCGATGTACAGGCCAGAATGGGACATTGACCGTCAGTAACGGATCCTTTACAGGTCATAAAGGGCTCTTTGCAGGCCAGGATGGGTCCTCTAAGGCGTAGAATATCCTTTAAGTTCAGACTCGGCCCTTAACATACAAGAATGGGCTCCTACACAGGCCCACCTAGTTGGCAGGGGGGGGGGGGGCGCCGGCCCCCAGCTTTCAAGTTGAGGGGGGGGCGACAAGCTGTCCCACTCCCCCCCCCCCCATCCATCGGTGCCCGCGTCCCGCGTCCGATCGATTATGCTCGGCAACTAAAGAGGAATATCGCCGAGCGGCCCTTTCGATGTCCTAGTAGCACCGTACTAGTATCTTTAACAATGCAATGCTATACCGATGTGATTGAGCTCCATTGTGGCAAAGAATGCAGATAGGGACTCCTTAGTGAAAATCTGCGAGAGGAATATTTAGCCTCCCGCAAGAGGGTTGCTTGTATGGGGGGGGGGGGCCTCCCCTCACCACGGTGGCGCCGCCCCTGCCTGTTCCGTTTTGCTTGTGTCGACAGCACCTTCTTCCTCACGCATGTCGCTTCCGCGTTTAATATGCATTCATTTCACCATGCTTACCAATCTTGTGTTTTCAACAATGGTTGTCTGGGATAACAGCAAGACAAATTCTCTAATTTGGTAGTTGCAGCACATTTTTGCCAGAAGCGGTGTTGTACCCACCGGAACAAATATGCGTGCCCAGTGTTATTGCAGGAACATTATATGCATATGTCCAGTCTTCGGTATGATTTCTGGGCAACTAATGGCTGGGCGGGGTGCCACGTTCAGACGCCCTCCACAGAGCGACCAGCACCCAACAGCCAAGGAGCTACGAACCCGAAGTGGTCCGGAAAGCGCTATATCATATGAATTAGAAGCATCCAGAAGACTCGTAGGTGATCAAATGATCCAGTGATCGACTCCAGTCCTAGAGAAGCGAGGGTGTACGCAGGATTTCGCGATGCAGAAGACACAGCTGGGAATTCTTGTGATGTTGAATTTCTAGCGCGCCCCAGGCGCACGAAATTTCTCGCGCTCAACTTACCACCTCTCTGCAATCTTTTTATATGCATTCCAATATGTGTAGACATACAGGTTTGGATTTTCAATACAAATCATGGGGCGGTGGCACGTGCACCGGTGCCACCTCCCTTTGTTCATCTCCTGCGGAGAACCAGAGGACCGCCAAGAGTCGACGGTATTCGGAACTGTCAACCCGCCGAGAAAGCCAAGCACTCCGATTGATCACCAAGTGTGACAAGAAGCTGTTCCCAGTGCACTCAACATGCGCTGGACGCACAGCACACCATCGTCTCCAGATGAGCGGTGCCGCCGCTGCACCCGGGCAAAAAAATCCTCGTGGTACACCGTATCGGGTATTTATTAAAACAAAGGACGAGGGTATCAAAGACAAGGGCCAGACCAATCAGCTGATGTGTCAATGGAAGCAACAAAGGAAGATCACGTGTAAAGTCGGACCTGGCCGTTCCAGACATCATCCAACCCTTGCATGCAGCCATGAGGATGTCCCTCCACGCCGGTCGTAAAATACGCAGCCTCTGTCGACAGGTCAGCAAAAGCGCTACACTTCGATGCGGTGAGATCGTCCGTCGCGTCCCCACGGCGCATCCGGCGCGCCGGCGAGCGATGCACCGAGGCCGGGGCTCGGGCTCCGTCGGCCTCGGCGCGCCGCCAGCCGGGTCAACCACGATCGCTCGAGTCCACGTCCAATCGGAGTCAGCGGCGGCCAGTGTCATGCCGAGACGGCTGACACTGATTGATTACAGCAGCTGGCTGCCCGGCCGACTGCCTCAACCAACTGACCGGCCGTCAACGATTGGCGGCATCAGCTCGCCCGCCGTCGCTGATAGGCGGGACCGGCTGCCCGGCCGGCTAGGATTGGTGGGAGCAGCCGGCCGACAGGCACCGATTGAGGAACCCAGCGGGCTGGTGAGCGTCGACTGGTGGAAACTGCACGTCTGCCTTAGAACACAAGGCACCACACGCGACACGATGACGCGACTCGTCATCGTCGCTACAGCCAGCCCGCCGGTCCCCAGCCTTCCCACGCGGCCGGCCGGTCCCAGAAGGACAGCCGCAGAGTGCGACACTGGCCAAGACCGGCCGTCACATGACCCACGCGATCGCCGCGGCCGAGCGCACCCTCGCGCGCGGCGCCTGCGATTGCCGGCTGCTGATCGTCCCGGTCCGACATCACAAAATATTTGTACTCAATGGACAGGGCGCAGTAGTGCGCGGCCCGCCGGCTGCGGCGGGGCGCGGCGCGCACCAGGCGCCGACGGCGCGGCGTCGTGCAGCGCGCACACACAGAGGCAAGAGACGGCGTGCCGGGAGCGGCCGGCGGCGGCGGGGCGCTCTGGCGTTAGCCATGTCAGCGGCGCGCCCGCCGGGACGCGCGCCGCAAATCGCGGCCGCACGCGTGCGGTGTCAAAAGGCCACCGCACAAAACACTGAGACAAACCACGGCGATCAGTTCATTTGTACAGGCCGGCCGAGCGCGGCCGCTTCGTCCGTCGCCCGCTGCAGCGCCGCCCACTGCCTTCGGCGCACACTGAGTGCGGGCGCCGCACAGAGATGGCGCCACCTACTCGTAGAACCAGCGGAACCGCGGCGCCGCCTTGTGTCATCTCTTGTCGGCGCCGCGCGGCCGGCCCTGCTGAGCGTGGCTGGGCGGCGGCATGTGCACCACGTGGTGCATGGGTGGCCCAGCCGGCCCCGGCGGTGACACCATCTGGTACTGCGGGTAGGCGGCGGCGGCGGCGCTGGCCGCGGCTGACACGCGCAGTGACTGCGGAGCCGGAGCAGAGCCACATGTCACAGCATCGGACACGCCGGCACACAGTCACGCTGGCAGACGCGGACACACGTTGACGTGCAAAACGCTAATACTGAGGCGGTGCCAACTCATGGCAGGGAATAAAGACACGAGTATTGCGTACTGGCTCTAGCAATTGTGTATATGGGCGTTAACGTGTGTAGCCTGACCTAATAACTTAAATGGTGGAGCCAAACTATTTCAACCAGTTTGTTACAGTGGCCTGCCGGCAACCACAAATACAATGAAAAATTACCACAAATCAATACTAACGAGCTTAAAACCTTCAGCAGGGTCCCTACACTAAGACAGGTAACAAATGAGTGTTAACCCGCTCCGATTGCCAAATCCCCAGAAAAGCAGAGCATTTCGTAGAGGCAACTGCGCTCATGATACAAATACAACTGCTACCGTCGAATCAGCGCAGATGAAACCAGATTCCGTCCAACATTCCCCGTTCTGACACGGTGCCGCCAGCGGCGCTTACCTCCAGTATGCGGTGGTCGCGGTCGGCGGCGGCGGCGGCTGCGACGGCGTGCGCGGGCGACGGGTGCGGGCCGCGGCCGGGCAGGCCGCCGCCGGCCGTGTTCACGTGCAGAGGTCCGGCCAGGCTGACCGGCGACGCCGGCAGCAGCGCCGCACCTCCGCCACCGCCAGCGGCGCCCATCAGGTACGGCGCCGACACACTGCCCGCCACATGCCGCACAGTGAGGCACCCCATAAAGGACCGGGCGGAGAGCAAACCATGCAGTATAATTTGAATGATGGTTCACCGAGCAGTGCGGGCAGAGACAAACGAGGAAATGCCACAATGGAATATGACATATATGGCATGATATATATATATATATATATATATATATATATATATATATATATATATAATGTCATAAATGGAAGTGACACACAGCTATGAACGTGCTGCGAACATGCACAATGGAGACTAGACACTATGAGCCCATGAAATCCACATCTGGCAGCGGGTGACCTCCCACGGCGTCCGCTTTTTTCGATCAGATGTCTCACACGAGCGCGCCACGCCGGCGGGGAGCGCTGGACCTCGTCGCCGAAGGCAGCGCGGCGGGGACGGGACTCACGCGGTGCGGACGGTGGGCGAGCGGCGGCTGGCGCCGAGCGGGCTGGCGGCCGGCGGCAGACGGCCGGACGGCGGGCCGCGGCCGGCGCCGCCCAGCGGCGACTGGTCGGCGGCCGGCCGGCCCGCCGCCACCGCCTGCAGCGACGGCAGACCGAGTGGCGACGGCGGCGCCGGCCGACCCGGCTCGGTCAGCCCGTTCTCAAGCGGCGGCCGCGGCGAGCCGGCGTGATGCCCGAGCGCAGCGCCTACCGACCGAGGGCGAGGGGTCAGCGGAGATCAGCCGCGAGCGGCATTCGCACGGAAGTCCGTCGTCTGGATGGCACACCAGAGCTGAAGGCTCTAACTGCACGTCATCCACAGCTGCGAACAGCCGCCGCCTGACGGCACAGCGCCGACGAACCAGAGCGTTGGCGTCCCGGGCCCACACACCACGCGCTTCAAACACCGGTCCGGCGCCGGCGGAGCCCGCGCGGCCAGCGCCCCTCTCCGCGAGGGCCCGCTCCGGCAACCGACCTTGATTGTAGTGTGCGCGGGCCGCGGCGGCGGCGGCGGCGGCCGCAGTCCGGCCGGGCGCACCCAGCGGCGTTGTGCTCTCCAACGGCAGCGAGAGCCGCGCGTTCACCGCCAGCAGGTGGTCCCGCCGCTGCGCCAGCTCGCCCATGTGCTCCTCCAGCTGGCGATGGGACAGCGGGCCGTTAGGGCGCCGGCTCAGCGCGCGGACGCCCGGTATGAGCTGGACAGCGTGCGACTGGCCGCACTCGTAATAACCGCACACCGCAGTGGCGCTCGAGTGACGTGGCTTGTGCCCGGCCCGCGGCCGTCAGCGCAACACGCGCCGCCGGCCGACGCGCCTTGCGTAAAAGGAAATTACACTACAAGCGAGTGGTTTCCGTCCGGGCATCGGGCGTATCGGTTGACTTCACAGTCACGATCGCGCCGGATCAGGCCGCACAGCGGGCTGGAACCGGGCTGGTACCGACAAACGCCACTCCTCGGCTTCGACTTCCCAGACTTGACACGGCGTCATGTCATTGGGGCGTGTGTTAATGGGGCTTCACCGCGCACTGAGCTGGTGTGGTTATATAGCGTGGCAGGCGGCACGTCATACGCCGCACAAATTCACTACGCCAAGCTCAGAAAACAAGACGGTTTAAAGCTCTAAATAGACATCGCTGTGGACCGTAGGGAGGGATCATAAGCATGTCACAGTTCTAAACCTCATACAGATGTGGGAAGTCCGTCTAACCACTCGACTATCGGTACCCCGGGCCGTGACGTCTCCCCGCAGCGTTCCGCTGCTGCACCGCCGCCCGATGTCCTCTCCGGCCGCCGCCGCCAGTGCAACGGCGCGGCTCGCCCGGCGCCGCACAACCCCTCCTCACGTGCTCGTTCTCCTGGCGCAGCTGGTACAGGCAGCTGAGCAGCGCCGCCACGTCGAAGTGCTGCGACTGCTCCATCAGGAAGTGACTGCCCTGCTCCCACTGGCGCTCAAGCAGCTCGCTGAGCGACTGCGGGAACGGTGGCGCGCTGCCGCCCGCCTGCGACACGCGCGGTGGCGGGAGGTCACACACCCGGCCGCGGCGTGTCGTCACGACCGCTCCCCTCCGGCAACAGGAGACGGTTGTAGCCGACCACAGCAGTGGAAAGGGCTCAACAGCACACATGGAGGATGTGATCGCGAGTAACTCGCCAAACGTGCCGAAATGACGGCGGGATCAGGGAGGCCTGGGGCCACTGTACACGACGGACTGCATCACGGTGCGCCCACCAGAAGACCACTGACATCCACCCACATGGCCATGGCGCGGAACGCCTGTTAAAACCTCAGGCACGGACTAAGTGATATACGCGTCACAGAACGCCGCACGATATGCAGTGTCACACATACCAGCACGAACACGAGTGTGACCTCGTCCGTTATCTCGTCAGTGACCTCATCCGTAATCTCGTAAGTGACCTCGTGCGTCAGCTCGTCAGCAACCGCGTCCATGACCGCTCGCCACACGCGGCCAGTGCAAACCCGCCCCGGCCCCCCCCCCCCCCCCCTGCCGATCGTCGCCTCTCTGCCGCCATGCCGGCCACCGCGGCATGCCTGACCTGGCGTCCGGCGGCGGCAGCGGCGGCGGCGGCGGCGGCGACGGTGGTGCCGGCGGCCGGTGGCGCGGCCGGCCGCCCGGGCAGCGCCGGGCCCACCAGCCGACCGGGCGGCTCCAGGTAGCCGGCCTGCTCGGCTAGCTCCGCCGCCAGCGAGTCGCTCAGCTTGGGCGCCATCAGCGACGACGGGTTCAACTGGTTGCCTAGCATGTGCGCCGCCACCGGCAGGCCGTTGGTGCGTATGGAGATGCTGCCGCTGCCGGCGCTGCTGCTGGAGAGGCCGCGAGGCGAGGGCGGCGGTCAGGCGTCAGCGGTGCCAGCGACCAGAGGCGGGCAGCTACACCCGGCTGCACTCGCCGCGGAGGCAAGCGCCGTAGTTTATCGAAAAGCCGCCGTGAGCCTGAGGCGCACACCCCCACGCGGGTCGCGTCTCTGGTCTCAGTTCCAGCGATGATGACCCCGCCAATGGGTCTCCCCGGCTGACATGACACACCAACCGGCCTCCCAGAACACGTCCCACCCCTCATAGCCCGCCGCACTGACTCCACAAAACAGGTGCGATGCCGGCGTCCGCTGCCCAGTGCTGGGCGTCGCACGAGCCTGGCCGCCTCACCTCCTGCCGTTGACAGCGACACCCGGCTCCGCCGGCTCGCCGCTGGGCCGTTTTCGCGGCGCGGCGGCCGGCGACGCCTCGCCGCGGCCCACTGAGCCCTCTCGGCTGGCCACCGAGTCCGGCGTGGCCGCCTCGCGCTCCACCCCGGCGGCGCCCGGTGACGGCGGCCGCACCACGGGCGCTGGCACGTGCTTGCGCGGCCGGCCTGGAGGCTTGCGCTTGCGCGGCTCCTTATCGACGGCGGCCGTCGGCAGCGGCCGCTTCGACTTGGACGCCACCAGATGCGGGCTGACCTGCGCGAGCCAGGATGGACGGTGAAGGGCAGCTGGCGCGGGGGGGGGGGGGCGGCATTCAGAGCGGTACGGAGCATGACAGTAGAGCGGTAGGGTTTGAGAGGAATCGGCGGAGAAAACAACTCGGCGCGCCACCAGGGCAGCGCGCCGCTAAGTCGGCTTGGTCGGACTGTTCGTCAGATTGATCGGGATACTATTGATCAGGGTATATGGAGTATTCTACTCATACCACTTGTGTCACCAACGCTGTTTAAATTCATTTTGATGAAGGCATGTTGCTTAGATATCAATACATATATACCTTATTCCTCCCCACCATTCGACGGGGAAAAAGGCTAACAGTTGTCTTACCTAACTGTATGGTGTTCCTTGCAAATGCACTAACCACTTACAGAATACCAAACAAGTAAAATCGTTCGATTTTAGGTCCTCACGAACCACGAAGTGATCACCCCACACCACCAGCCAACGGAGCAACGTTTACTGGGGAACGAGCCCCTCACCAGGCACCTGCGGCTGACAACTGCACACCATGTAACAGTGCCTCCTACCTGGCTCAGCGAAACCACGGGCAGAGAGATGGTGACAGCGGGCGGCGGTGGCGGCGGCGGCGGAAGCGGCGCCGACACCACTGCTGACGGGCGGCTGCGGCTGAGGCGTTGGCGGCTGCGGCGGCGCCGGTGCTGTCTGGATGACGCCGGTCGAAGGCGGCGCAGTGGTCGTCAGCGGCGGCGGCAGAGGCGGCGCCAACGACGGCAGCGGCGGCGGCGGCGGCGGCGGTGGGACAGGGGCTGACGGCTGGCTGGCAGCCGCGGCCGCAGCCGCAGCCACAGCGGGAACCGGAGCAGGAGCCGGCTCAGGATCCCGCGGCTCCTGTTTAATCACCAGCGATGCGTCCTGGGCAGAGCACCATTAGTCAGCGGCCCAAGCTGCGACACAGCCGAAAAGTGCACAGCTCACAGACCACAGAAGATCTGCCACCATACGATCTATCCGTAGTTATCGCATGAGAATACGATGAGCTAGTGAGGGCGCACCATTTCCATGCAAACACAACCCATCGACTGAAGGCGACTGTACCGTATGGATCGAGGACCAGGCCGATTTAAGCGAACCTACCCCAGCGTTGCAACTGTCACACACGCTAGCGATCCTCGTCGCGACCCGACTGACGCCCGTCCCGGCAGGGAGGCACGGGCGCCGGCGCCGGCGGGCCACGCACCTTCACGTCCAGGTCGGAGGTGGCCGAGAGCGTCGACTCGGACTCGGTGCCAGCGCCGCTGGCCGGTTCGGAGCCGCGCGCCGCCGCGCCGAACACCGAGCCGCTCGGCGTCACCACCGTCTCGGTGAAGTTGGCCGTCGTGAACTTGGTGTCGCCGGCCGGCTCGGCGGCGGCGGCGGGTGGCGCGCGGCCGGGCCAGGCGTCGGCCGCCTCGTCGGCCGGCTCGCCGCCGGTCGGCCGCTCCGCCGCCGCCGCCACGTCGCTCGCCAGGCTCAAGCAGCTGCTGCTCGAGCTGTCGTTGTGCGCCGCCGGCGGCACCGGCAGCGCGGCGGCCGTGGCGCGTGGCGAGCGCGACGGCTTCGGCTTCTTGCTCTTGCGCTCGGCGCGGCCCGGCTCGGCCGGCGGCGGTGGCGGCGGCGGCGGCTTGCCCGGCGGCGCCTCCGCCAGCGCGCTGTCGTTGCCCGGCTTGAACGCCGGGATCGGCTTTACGTTGTGACCCCGCTTCTGCGGAAGGTGCGCCACGTCACGCACGCCGACGGCGCAGCAGCCCGTCACGGCCGCAGGCGCTTGCCGGGGACACGCGACGGATAGGCGATAGTGCTACTCAACGTGGCGCCAGCATGCGTCCATTTTGAAAGAGCTCAGTCGCCTGCCAACGTTGATGGCGCTATGCTCGGGACGGCTGTGTGGTTGCTGAAGTGACAATGGCAATGCATTGCCTTCCTCGTGGAAGCTGGTAGAGAAAAGCAATCATGTCTCTTTGTTTACTCGATGGTGGTCTGCTGATCTATGCCTTTGTACAAAAGCTAGGGTTACAACTAATTTATTCATTGTTACGCCCTTCACCGCCCTCACCCCATCCCGTCACGCGATAGTGAACAGAGCAACCCGACATCAGCACCTTCAAACGCAAATGCCCAACTCCTGTCTACCCATGCAAAACGCACACAGCCTCGCCACATGCCCCGTCCCAGCTAAAGCCCCAGTTCGAGTTCGCCGCCCCACCAGCCCCGCCTGGGCCGCGTCCGCCGCGGCGCATCACCCCTCCGCTCACCAGCTTGGCGTAGTGGTGCGGGCAGTAGCCGCAGTACGTGACGTTGTTCATGCTCTGCACCTGCTCCTCGCAGAGCAGGCCGTGGCCTTGCGCGCACGTCACGTGGAAGCTGAGCCGACAGCCGGGCTTGTTGCAGCTCATGCAGGCGCCGGCCTGCGCCTTGCTGGCGCGGCCGTGTAGCTCGCACAGGCAGCACGACTGGGGGCGGGCGGTGATACGGGTCAGCAGGGGCGGGCGGTGGCACGGGTCAGCAGGAGCGTGCGGTGATACGGGTCAGCGGTGGAGGGCGGCGACACGAGTCAACAGGGGCGGGCGGTAGCATCAGCAGGGGCGGGCGGTGACACGGGTGGTGACACGGGTCAGCAGGAACGTGCGGTGATACGGGTCAGCAGGAGCGGGCGGTGACACGGGTGGTGACACGGGTCAGCAGGAGCGGGCGGTGACACGGGTCAGCAGGAGCGGGCGGTGACATGGGTCAGCAGGGGGTCTCACCGCCAAGGTCAGTGCCACAGGAGCGCACGATATGGCGGGCACAGCCGCTGGGAACAGGTGACAGGAAGAGCTGCTGACAGCACATGGGAAAGCTCCTGGGAGCACGTGGCGGAGAGCCGCCGGAAGCACATCGGTCGGTGTGACAGGCAAGGACGACACACAGCGCGCGACATCAGAAACACATTACCGGGGCCGACGGGACCGGAACAGGAGAACGTGACGGGCTTAGAAGGGTCAATGACGAATGATAGCGCAGGGAGGTCCGCGGATGGAGCACGCCGTGGGACAGAACACATCACTGGGAGCATACAGAGGAGGTCGAAGTGACGCACGAGAGCACGGTGGGGCAAACATGGCCCTGAAAGGTCAGCCGCCTGCATTGCCGCCGACCGACCCATGTGGGCTCCCGCTGCATGACTCGGCCGGCGACGAGCTGGCCGGCCGAACTCACCTTGCTGAAGCGGTCGGGCGGGACGATCGACACCAGGATCGGCTCCATGGTGGCCACGTCGCCGAACCGCACCTCGGGGATGTAGAGCGCGCACACCACATGCGCCCAGCCGTTCTGGTCGGTCCGCTTCAGCGCGCCACCCTTGCTAGGGCACAGCTCGCACCGCTGCGTCGGAGAGAGGTCAGGTCAGGCTCCGATCGTGCCGCAGGTCGGGCACGGTCGGCCAGAGGCCAGGTCAGGCCCGGCTCGTGCCGCAATCGGGCACGGTCGGCCAGAGGCCAGGTCAGGCTCGGCTCGTGCCGCGGTTGGGCACGGTCGGTCAGAGGCCAGGTCAGGCCCAGCTCGTGTCGCAGTCGGGCACGGTCGGCCAGAGGCCAGGTCAGGCTTGGCTCGTGCTGCAGTCGGGCATGGTCGGCCAGAGGCCAGGTCAGGCCCGGCTCGTGCCGCAGTCGGGCACGGCCGGCCAGAGACCAGGCCACGAGCAAGCGGAGCACGCGACATGCTCAGCCTGGCTCGAGCGGAGATTGGGGACGAGAGGTGGCCAGATGGGTCCTTACTTGGCTTATTCATGACGAAGGTGAAGGTGGGGCGGGGTGGAGGAGGGGAGGGGGGGGGGGGGAGCATGAGACACCAGACTGCTGAAATAACGGTATAACCACACGCAGGTGAATGCTGAATGCCAAACTTAGCCTTGACAACAAGACAGCGTAGCACGTTTTGTATCAAAGCTACGTGAAATCGCGAAAACTTGCGCGCCAAAACATCTGACCACACCTAAAAACAGCATGAGCAGGGTTGAGCATGTTCACTACTGCTACTGCTTCAGAAATGATACAATGCAACACAAGGAAAACATGAACTAGAAACATAAGTATAGAACAATGTAGCACATGCACACATGCACACACACGCACACAATATTATCAGACACATGTTATTGCAGTGGCAGCTGGCCACTGCAAATGAAGCATGCCCCAGAAAGAGAGAAAGCACGACGGCCATTGCGTGTCGAGCCAGCCGCCAGACCAGCGACTGCTGCTCACCACTCGAGCGGCGCGCTCCTGGGATTCACACTTGCGGCAGAACCAGGGACCGGGCGGCACCGATACGATGCCGTAGCAGGCTGCAAACGCGGTGCACCAGGTCAGACAGCAGCTCGTGCGAGCAGGGGGCGGACGGCTGATAGCTGGCCACTATGTGGTCACGCCAGTCGACCTTAGTTCACGTGCACCCAGCAAACCAATGTCACACAGGCGTTGCTTTCTTAGACATGGACGTTTTGACAACTAACACAACCATGGAAATTATGACAGCTTTGCTCTCCCTGTCAAGTTGTGACCCTGAGAGGAAGGTTTACGACCTACCACCCCCAACCTAATGCCAACCTACAGACTGCAACTATCCTGCCGCAAGCCTGAACATCAGCTTTGCATGTGGTTTTCTCTTTCAGACATCAATGGAACAAGACCTTAGCCAGAATGCACTTCACCCATGGATGCGCTCTCTACTCCATCTCCCTGCAGGTCATTGATATGGTAGCCGTCCTCAAACCAGGCAGGCAAACTCCGCCCCCTCATATCCAGCCGCGCACCAGCGGGGATCCCACCCCAGGAGACTCGCCGCTTGGCTGTCCGGGTGAGCGCGTGTCACGTACTCTAAGGGATCTCTGGCGGCCCGGTGCTGTGACGTCATCACGGCGCACCAGGTAATATAGCAGGGATGAGGGGGAGCAGAGGAGCTTCACACTGGAACTGCTGTCATTTTCCACAACACTCCACCCATGTCAAAAACGCATTTCCAGGACACGATAGCAAAGCCACCCTTATTGTTTGAATATGGCTACAACCTTAGGCAAAATGATCAGTCAGGAAGTGCAGCAAAATGCAGCGCTTGATTATGCAGTGCCATTACATTTTGTATTCTTCACGTGTGGCTGGAACACATACTTTTGTACTCCATAATAGTGGTGTTCTCAGTGTGGTCTTAAGTGATTTAATTCATGCTTCTACATTAGTCAAGGAGTTGGTGAAATCAGAACATGCATACATGACTCAACACTTAACACAAGTGTCCATCTGTGTGTCTGTGGCTGTGCCCATAAAACACTAAACATGACTGTCCACCAATACCCATTCTCTTGCTCACTTGTCAGTTCCCCTCAGAGTTCCTGTATTTTACATAGAGGACTGGCAGAACCTGGTGGTGGAATTTGTAACAATTGTATGGGGGAAAATGCAGCAGGCAGAGTTCCTAACCATGGGATGGTGTAGGGTTAATGTTCCTTTTACCAGAGAGGAGGCAGCCCCCTCCCCCCCCCCCCCCCCCCAACTATGTATCTCTGAATTTAGGACATCATGACTCACTTACAGTGTGGCATATGTCATCCACTTTGTATTCAATCTTGATTAGGAAAACTTTGGCAAGGAGATGATGGTCTGGGATTTGAGGTGTACCATCTGTTCTGGTCAAGTGGCACACAATTTTCCAATAGATTGGAGTGGCTTTATGCCCCCTTGGATCAACACTGAAAGAGCTACCACATGCATAATTCTTACCCTTGGATCAACCACATTATTTTGGTATTTCTCACACTATATACTGCATGACTGTTATACAAATCAAGGCACACAAACTGAAACTAACTGAAAGAGCTACCACATACATACTCCTTTATACATGAAATGCAAGATCCACAATACCTTTCCTCAACCACAGTGCATACATCTGCTATTAATGTACTGGAGGAAGCTGACACAGTATGTAAGGTACTGTGCCCATTAACATTTGTTAGGCAGTGTACCTATTAACATATAATGTGCTCACTGTGTACAGCTAGTGAATGGGGCTAAGCACTGGTCATAAAATTCCTATACTTTCCTGCCATAGATCCTTGTAGCAACTGTTGCAAATATTGACTACATCTGACAGCCATAGAAAAGAAAACCAAACAGGATGTCTGTCCAATGCATGTCCAACATAATTCACTGATGTTATTAGAGTCAACTCATCAGGTCAGACTTCATTACCTCAAATGTTTTTGGTCATCTGGGCCACTTCTATAAGGCCATGGTTTAATAAAGTGGCATGAAAAATCCAAACTTTCCATACAAGTGACAAGCAACTCCCCACACAAGTAATACAGATATAAAATTAAGCAGGCCAAACTCTGCCTTCCAAAGGCAGCAATGCAAATGTCAAAATATGCTGTTTTTGTATAGGTGCATTTCATAGTTATGTGTATGTGTGTCATTGGGGCTTTATGAAACACTCAGCTGCTGAGGCTATATGGTGTCACATGCCTCTCACCATGGCTGCATTTCATGGTTGCTGAAATGCAGAATCAGCCCTGCTGAAATATAACCAATTTTGTGATGTGCTTCTTCAGATAACATTTGGATAACTACTATTATCTACTAAAAGGTCCAAGAGAAATGGCCAAAACATGGAGGGGGAACAAACAAACAAACTATAATGGCACATCAACCAACAAGAGCTAATATTAATGTCTAATGCTAAATTAATGCCTCTTGGACCTACTACAAGGTCCAAGAGAAATGGCCAAAACATGAAAGGGGAACAAACAAACAAACATAATGGCACTCAACCAACCAGAGCTAATATTAATGTCATCACTACAAGGAGCATCTTTTGTTAATTATAAGTCATGATTTGAAGGTTTGTGCATGGGTAACAAAAGTACAACACAGTATACTTCGCCTCTTAAAAGTCTGATGCAAACTATATACCACCCATCCATCCATCACTGCACCTGAACATCCCAAACCTTTTTGGCAGTATCAGGTGCCTGTAAGGATTGTAAAACTTGCAAAACAGCCCCCAACCCCATCAAAATGGCATCCCAAGCTCAAAAAGGTATCCCAAATCCAACACAGAGCCTCTACCACAATAAGGTAGGTTCCCCTAGACTGACAACAACCTTAATGTTCTAATTTGGCCCCTCCTGGACAAAACCCCAGTTGTCACTAGTTAAGACAAGACCAGACCCCACACTTATCTGGTAAATACTGATATCTGACAAGCCATGGCATACTCCACTGACCAATTATCATCTTTTCTGACAGTTTCTTCTTTGTCAGCCCCTATTTTGGCATTATGACTGGTCTGGTTGGAGGCAGGTACTGCCAAGTGCTTTTTTTGTTATGACAGGCTTTAGACAGAATCTAATGGTCAAATCATTTTTTGTTGCATAAGCATGCATAAATGATATAATTATACAATGCACATTTGCCTCAAATATGCATTTCAATACTGTTCACCCAGTTCAAACCATGATATAACTCAAAAGGTTGACTCATTAGTATTACATTTAATCTGGAAGCTACTTTGTACATCTTATCAAGATCAAATGATATATAGAAAAAGAAGAATGCAAGAGAAACTTAAAAATCCTGGAATGTGCATGCTAAGCATAAAATATGCACAAGATAAATTTCATAGGCATGTCAGCCTATGATGCTCATACTCAACTTGCATCATGTCAACTACAAAAACATGCTAGCCTCAAATGTTAGCACTCAAATGAGGCCCTGTCAAAATCAACCTGCTTTGCATAACCAATCTAATGGGCATCACAAAATCTAGCTATTTCAGACAATTTCATCATAAATTTCATTTAATTTGTAAATGCAGAAGGCATTTAGCAAACCAGATTATCATCCCAAAATATTTTTGAAAGAACATTGATATGAGCATAGAAACCTGAAAACTCATGGACTTTTCATGAATAAACATACACCTTAGATGTTCATAACCAGTTTTGATCACAAAATAATTCAGGCAAGAATTATCAATCAAACAAATCCATACATTGAGTTTTCATCACAACCAATGGGATGATTGAAATTAAGCTCATAACATGTTGCATAATGATGGCTTAATCTTTCATCATACTGAAATTAGAGCCTACTTGTAAACCAATAATGGTGAGTGGACACTATTCATCACATCCAGTTACTTATCACCACCTCCCTGTTGACTGACAACAAAATCACCAGACCATCAAATAACACATTCCATGTAAATTCACCCATATCAATGATGATATGATGGTGAAAAACTCTGTGACCAGTCTGCTTATGATTAGGCATGCTGCCTTAAAATCAAATTGGAACCAGTGAGCCCACCAAGTGTTGCAACAAGCCTGTAACACCAGCTTGTCTGTTAGGATGCCAACCACTCCACCACTAGAAATTTACACGAAATCACAGAAGTTTCACAGCGTTAAATGCCATAATTGACCGGTAATGATATATATACACATAACCCAGGCCATCACCGATCCCCGAGTGCGCAGCGTTTGTCTCGTACCTTGATGAACCGCCACATTGCAGCCGTCTCCATCGCAGTACACCAATGGGTTCTCATCCCATCCACTTTCATCAGAGCAGACACAGCAACCTCCAACCATTTCTTTCATGTCACCCTCGTCTTCCCCCATTAGTACACCACCGACCATGCAAATTCCCTCGCCATCATTGTTTACAAACTCGAACCTTTGATCACACGCTGCGCATGCGCAAATGTTTGACGGTCCGATTCTCAAGGGCCGTTGCGGTATCACTGCAAATACTGACCACGTGTTGGCTGTGTTGGTGACGATGTTTCCGTCCAAGATAACCTTGAAGATTAAATCCAATTTTTGTTTTGTGCCAAATTGGTACCCGATCTCACCACACAATTATAATTAACATAAAAATAGCGCTTTACTATTGACGTCATTTTCTTTAAAAACTTCCGAAGAATTCGATTCTGGTCAGCTGGTTGTTCATAACTTAATAGCATGTATTTTTTTCGCATCTTAAACATCAAAAATATCATGCTATTAATACCCAGAGCTAAGGCACGAAGCTCTCGAACGTCGAATGTCCTCAGAATCCGATGTGATACACCTGCATTGAAGGAGATAATTGTGCGCAATTTTGCGGAAACTAATTATGTGTTTTTGTCTTTAAATCAGTTAAAATGTGTTAGCTGTAATCACATTTTACGGCATGGATCGCTTTTCTCCAACGTGCTCGCGTTCGTCGCATTTGCATCTGGCCCTTCCAGCACTGCCGCGTTGGTTTGTAGAATTTCACGCGAGTGCAGCTGATTGGAGCGCACAACATGGAGGGATGAAATACAGATAGCTGACGGAAATGTTAGTTTTGGCCAGTGGATTGGCCACCTATGCGTAATGACGATTATGGGCTATCAGGGCGTTACGAAGTATGAGCTCCAAGGGGCAGGTGCTCGGAGATAATCGCTAGACAGTGGACCTGCACCGGCCGAGAGTGGTTGGGTGTTTGTGTTCAGGGCCGTTGTTCTGCCTTTATTAGGCGGTTCACGGTTTGCATCCCTCAGGTAAGTAAAAAAGTGCCTTTATTTTTATGTTTGCAGCGGCATCTGTATGACTGCCCATCCGCATCCGTCGGTAGTAACATGTATGGTGGATGCGCGTCATGATTGTATGTTTTTGCTGCATGTCCGGGGTGGTCCACGTACAAGATTATGATCCTGGGGACGTTGTTGGCAAATTTTTAATCAACGAAGTTTCTAGGTACTGTATTAGGTCATGGAGCTCAAAGGACCTCATTGTCGTCACATGGGACATGGCTAGATGTCATATATTGCTGTTCATGTATGACAGTCTGCATTATATCCCTCTGCTGTATGCTTATATATATATATATATATATATATATATATATATATATGTATATATATTTATGTCTACAAAATATTTAGCCACTCTGCTGGACACATACAGACAATTGGTGCTCAGAACCTTTCATCTGCATGCATTCATCTTGAGTCTAAATTGTCCTGAATTTTTTAGTTATCTTTCTGGGGAAAGATTGGAGTATATTTGCCTGAGATGCCTTTTCAAGCATCATAATTTGGGGCAGGATTGATTCTTTCACCACATGAATTGAACATGACAATGCACCATATTGTGAGTGCTCAGATTAAAGCATGCATGTGCCTAGATTGTTGCTGATGTCTGCTGCCTCAGACCTGTGCAGTGTAACATTTTTATGTCACAGGCTGGCATGCATTGATATATTATTTCTGCATAGATTGAATTTCTCAAAAATAGCTGCAAAAATATGTTTGTTTATCCTGGAAGAGCTATTTTCCAAAATGTTTTGGTTGCATACCGATGATCACAGAATAGTTAAGTATTGTTTTGCTGTTCTTTGTGATCTGCCAGCATAATAACCCTGTAACTTGCACTTTGCACTTCATGATGTTTGCATTTTTAAGGGCTTTTCAAGCCTGTGTGCCCAATCTGGCAAGCTCATTATAGTGTGTTGCATCATGTTTCATTTGCTTGCTCCAGGTCTCCCCAGGCTCCAGGCTCCAGGTCTGATTTTATTTAGTTGGGTACTGATTTGTACCCTATCACTGATAATGGAAGGCAGTTCCATTGACTAATTGCCCTAATGCTACATACGCAATGCATAGGAATTATTACTACTCATTTTTATCAAGATTTCATTACTCAAACCTTTTTGAGTAGGTGGACTTCTAAGACCAAAGCTCATGCTGAGCAGAACATGTTGTTGGAGCTTTGACCTCTGCCATCAGATCATGCAGTTCCAGGTTAATGATAGAATTTGGTGGCCAATCTGGTGGTGAGTTCTGATGTCACATGGTACAGTTGCTTTCACGGCCTGCAAGGTGCACCTCTCAAGGGTAAGCAGTGAATGTTGAGAGTGGCTCGTATCAACTCCACTCCATGATGGGTCAATGGATGGGAAGGCTGATGCCTCTAACTAATGAAGCTATCAGGATGGAATTTTGGGATGGCTGGCTAACTTCAAGAGGTGTCCATTTGTTGATCTTCCAGATGCTTAAGGGAAAAGATGGTCAGTTCCTGGTAAGAGATGCTATTGATCATTTGGTATACTGTGAACAGATAACCTAGGATACCAATGCCTTCAGAATAGAAATAAGAGCTTGGGCTTGCTGAGGGTGTTTTGAAGAAGATGTCTTTTTACTCCAGAAGCTCCTCTCTGCACTTTTTCTACCAGCCATTTACAGACACATGACCTACATGGAGGGAGATTCACAATGGCTCCCTTGCTGCCAAGCAGTTTTGTTCAACAGTGGAGGCTGGATTGGCTGTTATTGGAACATTAGGAAAATATGTTGCTGGGTTGAAACAGGGTGTTTGGGTGAACAATTTGACAGGTTAAGTTTCAGTGACACTTGTGGCTTGGACAGATGGAAACCATAGATTAAAAATTGGTCTGGGTGTCTAAGTGCCTTTAAGTGCTGCCATAACACTTGCTCCATGATTTCATACTGGCTTATGCCTTGACCAGAAATCAGTCAATCAATCTTGTGTTCTTGCAACCTCTTCATTGTGGCTGTTCTGTCTGTGCATCAAGCATTATAGATGTGTGCATACACATGCGCACACATGCGCAGATTGTGGCAACGAAATGCATGCATGTGATGCTTTGTCACAAATCAGTATGTTGGAGTGATTGCTGAGCTCACTGGATACAGGAACTCGGCCCCGCAGGTCTCAATACAGCGGGAGGAGACCAATTCCATATAGAAGCAGCCGGGAAGGCAAAGCTCCTGTGGGCTATCTTCTATCTCTGCACACACCCTGGGCAGCCCTAAAAGCTGATCGACGGTTCCATGTGTGACATGCTTGGCACTGCACCGTTGCAGAGCACGCAATCTCTCAGAGATATCAGTGAGTGTGACATGTGTATGGTTACATGTATAGATGCCAGGTTCTGTTGTATTGCAGCTCATCAAATTTTTGCTGTCTTACCTCATCTAAGAAAACTACATTGCAAAACAATCAGAGCGTAAATCACATTCAAAATAAAGATAACTTGGTATGTGAAGATGGCCACAGTTTTTGATTCATGTAGCTTCAAGCTAATTTTACAGCAGAGCTCATGTTTTTAAAGCATTTGTGATAGGCACTTTTAGCACTGGTTTCAACTTTGCTTTCAGTGCTGTGCCATTGGAATGAGGTGGATGTGCCTTAAGATTTGTGTCATTTGTAACAGCTGACATTGGCCATGGCATCAAGCAGTTTTTGGAATGACAAGATCAGCTACAGCATGAGGGGGCCTTAAATTGCTGTTTTTGGGTTTGTTGTAATATTCTTATCACATCATTGGGACTTGGCTTCACAAAAACATTCTGCATGTTCTGTTGCCCCAATATAACACAACTTTCTGAGTCTGTGATGAATGCTGATGCATAGATGAAATTCAAAAACCATCTGGTTACTGCTGCAAGCTATTCAGTTAAAACTGATCATGGCAGAAAAGTGAATTCCCAAAACATTGTGACATGTGAACACACCAGGCAAGAGTGATCATACAAAAAGATCTTCTGTCTGTAATGCCAACATCTCACCTTGATTGCTATGCATAGTCCTCATGATCTGATATTCATGTGTAATCATACAGTCTGTGTTGATGTAGCAAGAGCTCCAATTTTACAAATGATATTGTACAGTAGCTTTGGTTTCCAGCCTTTGATTTATATGGATTTTTTTGGACTGTCAAATGTCAAATTACTTGAGTTGAGAGCTGCTGACCATAGCTGGATTTGGCTTTGGTTTTGATCTTTCAAAGATCAAAGCCACTGGCTTCAGCTTTGGCTCAGAGATGGCATTGTCTTGGCTTCAAATTTGATTTCAATCCCAGAACTCTGATGTTGTCACTATGCCTGGCACTGATGCATATATCATGATACAATTGAGATAACTGGAGGACACAGGGATTCCTTGCTAAATGCAAACATCCCTCTCTGTCAGTTATGAAACTTCACTCTGACCTCCAAACCTTGCCCCTTCATCGAACCTGCACCAAAGCAGCAGGTAGTTTAAATTTGCATGATGCATTTCATTTTAGGATGTACTATCTGTGTGGCTACATACCATTACCATTTGGGTAGAACCAGGGTCTCAGAGCAAAATTTAAATATGTTTTGTATGGCATACTTGTCATCTGATTTACTTCATCTCAGAATATTCACTCACTATGTCACCAACATCTTTCCCTCCAGTGCATTAGAGCTGAGTATCAGACTCATGTATATGTATTTTTCAGATTTAGTTTGAACAATTTGAATGGATATATTTCTTGGAGCTGGCCTCATGCTAAGCAGTGCTTATTCCATGAGCCATTGACTGCTATCACCAGGTCGTGAAATTCCAGGTCAATGCCATATTGTGGTGGCAAAAGTTCAATGTGCCACCTTGCTTGGCATGGTCTGTCCTGCCCTGTGACGCGACATGACCTTTTGTGTGTCTGCTGCCACAGACCGTTTCATTCCAGGCTAAATAGCGAGTGCTTCAAGGGACTCAAACCCATCTTGTCACAGATGGGTGGATAGTAAGGCAGATGCTTTAACCAACTAAGATCATGGGGGGGGGGGGGCAGGGGGTGGATGATAAGGCAGGTGCGCTATCCAACTAAGCTATTAGGATGGACAAACACAATGACAAGTTGGGTGAGGGGGTATGCTTGGAGCAGGTGTAGGCATAACTATTTATGTGTCATCTCTCTCAAATTTCCTTTTGTTTCCCTTGCCATGGTTGACATAGCAAAGGTGGAATGAGATGTGCCCCTCACCCACATTCCTATTTGGAGGAGTCAAGCACCATCCCACCTTTAGAACAGGCATGGCCTTGGCTACCTTACACTGTGCTGAAGTTAAGTAATTGTTAGTGTGATGTATTGATAAGCATGGTCGCCATGATGTTGACATGCCAGATCAATAAAACAAACATGTGTTCTCCATATGGTAGGCTGTCAGTACAGTTTTTGTGGTAAATACTGGGATGTGCATTCATGCTTAAGGTCATGCTGTGATTTGGGCACAATCTGCTGGGCAGCTGTCCACCATGTGCTGGTACATGAATGTGATTGCAGTAATGATTTTATGCACCATATAATGAATGAGATGAATGTGTTACTGAATTGGATTAAGTTATTATATGACTGGAATTGTTCATATGATTGGCCATGCCATGTATTTTGACATGTTATGTTTTGTGCTGCACTTTGAAGCAATAAAGATAAATTTATTTGCTGCATCCTCAACCTTGAAGCAATTGCTGACTCATTTCAGCAGCATTGGGCAAAAGCTTCATATTGTACAGTTTGTTTTTGCAGAGTATTTAGGTCTCAGCCAGCACTAGGACAGGGAGCATCAAGCTACAACTGTACTGTATCAGCATGGTAATTTACAAAGTAGCTAGTTATTGCATGCCTGGCAAAAGACAAATTGGCTGCATGAAATATTTACAATACCTTAAGACTTACCAATAGGGTTTTTCATTCAGCATCCATTTAACATGTCTTCCATATATCCACCCTGCATTAGTTTAGATCCCAAAATATAGATATGTGCCATTTTCTGTGGGCTTTGAATTGTCTGCAGATGTTCTTCTTCACTATAATTTTCAAGATCATGATCACGGGTGGGGCTCAGTGTCTGTTCCCACTGTTTTCCCTCCCAGCCATTTCCCTTACTGATTTGTTCAGCCCTCTTGGTATTAACCTATGCCATGTAGATGTTGACAAAATGCTTTGAAAATAAAATAGCGAGAACCCAAGGCCATGATGGAAATTGCAGTTGTTGCTCCTCCCCTCCTCCGGAAGCCTTTCTTGTAGCGGAGGCACTTAATGAATGTTTTGCTGTAAAAATCTGAAAATGTAGTCAACATAGTGTTACCACTCTATTTTTGACTTGCATAAGCTATGCGGAAATTGTGTAGGACATTACCAAAGGTGGCCACACCACCCCAGAGAGGAACATTTGTTCCTCAACATGTGCTTGGTTAATTGGTCAGTTTGGCCATCCCAAAGACATTTACAAAGTAAACTCAGAATGGCACAGCACAGGTGTGACACACTGTGCATGCCTGTATGCAGTTGAATAGCAGAATATGAAAAGCTTAACTGCTATGCGGCTGGGAAATCAGAGGTAAAGGGTTTGATTCCTCGCGGTGGCCGCCCTTCCTGCCAGGGTGAGAGGCAGGCGACGCCATATAGCCTCAGCAGCTGAGTGCGTCGTAAAGCCTCAGTGGCACACACACACAATAGCTGAACATGTCTCATACAAATTATATACGCCTGCAACTTTGCTGACCTATGGCAGGTAAAAGTCAGTCCAAGGCTGGGAGCAAACAGAGCCTACTGCTACGTTCGATATCACGCAACAGCTGCATAACTATTTGCAGATGTTGGGTGTTAAAATTTCAGATGTGATGAAACAACAGAATGTTTTACGAAACTACATTTTTTAGATGTTTGCTTATACAATAACACTTGAAATTATGATTATGACTGATTCCTTTGAGCTTGTGTCAGGTACGAAGGCCAGATTTAGGTGAAAATAACCTGCTTTAGTATTTGAAAACTTGCTTTATGAGTGGTTTTGAGGTTCATTTCTAGTAATTGGACTACGAGTGTATTATTTCGGTATGTATTATGATAATGTGTATTATAATGATGTTTGTGTATCTTAGATGTGTAGTATTTTTTCTTGATGGAGGTCGGGAGAGGTCACTGAACTGAAATGACCTCAATCCACCTTTTACTAGGAGTAGTGTGCCACCTAGTGTAGTACCTGGCCCTGGTTGTAAATTCAAACATCAGAATAATCCCGAAGACTTTTGGTCAGTTTACCCTCTAAACGGTAAGTATTGTCACGGACATAATATGAGCACCAGTGGCTGTTTGCTTGTGATATGTATGTAGGTTCAGGCTGGTTGCGTGAGAAGATCTGAGAACACTGCGGACGTAGACTTGGATTTTCACCTTGTGTGACCTTATTGAACCCAAAGGTCACCACCTAGATACCTCGAAATATGATGCCAGTGAGATCCAGCGGGCTACGAGTCAAATTCAGCAACTGTAACTTGTTCAGCCCTGTTCGGGTTAATAACTCTCGAGCATACCATTGTCGTAAGCTAAATCCTTTGCTAAAGGAAGAAAGCAAATCGGTGTGCTATCTAGCCCTATCTAACAATACCACTCTTTTTCTGATCATGTTTTGTGATGCCGCGTGCTTACCTGGGTAGCCCCCGGGGTGCCCAGGTCGGGAATGCACGTCTGGCGGTGGCCTCTGGCCCGCCGGCCGTGTGTTGCATCCCCCGCCCGCCATGTGACAGCCTCTGACACTGCCAGCCGTGTGTTGCGTCCCCCGCCCGCCATGTGACATTCTCTGACACCGACGGCCATATGTGTTGCAGCCTCCGCCCGCCATGTGACATTCTCTGACACCGACGGCTATATGTGTTGCAGACCCCGCCTGCCATGCGGCAGCCCGCTTAGCGTGCGGGCTGCGAGTATGATGAACGGCAAGCCGCTGGTAGAGTATTCGGACGTGTCATCGGAGGCGCTGAGCGAGCCTGAAGCGGGTGAAATTCAGAGTGACGACACGCTGCTCGAGCTTAGCGACGGCGAGCTGTCGCCGGTGGCGCCGCGCCGCCGGCCACGCCGCCGCCGCAACCGCCGGCCGCCGCCGCCGCCGCCCTCGCCACCGCCGCAGCCGTTGATCGAGCCGCCGCCGCTGTCGCCGCCGCCGCTGACGCCATCCCCACCACCGCCGCCGCCGCCACCGCCGCCGGCGCCGTCCAGCTTCGGCCACGACATGCCCGGCTCGCCGAACGGCACCGGGCGCTATCGCGCGCGCGACAAGAAGAAGAAGAAGAAGCGCGACAAGGAGCGCGCCGGCCGCAAGAAGAAGCGGCGCCACCGGTACGCGGACGGCACCGACGGCCGCCTGCCGAGTGCCAGTCCCATTTCGTCGGCGGACGAAGCGGTGGGCGGCCGGGACGGCAGTGTGACAGTGAACCGAGCGCCGCCGCCGGCGCCCAAGGCGGCGGCGCGCCGCAGGGCCGCCATTGGCCCCGCCAGCCCGCTCAGTCCGGCCTCGGACGGCCTGGCCGGCTCGCCCAACGGCGAGCGGACCCACGGCCGCCGCACTGCCCGCGACGCGCGTGACGTGCGCGACGCACGTGACGCTCGTGACGCTCGTGACTTTCGTGACATGCGTGACGCGCGCGATACGCCGCCGCGGGGTGCGCGCACACCGCCGTCGCCGTCGCCTCCACCCCAGGAAAACAGCAAGTGGGCGAGCCGCGGTCGACCTCACACGCCGCCGCCGCCGCCGCCGGTCGAGAAGCGGCGCAAATCGCGCTCACGTAGCCGTGAGCGCGACCGGCGGCGGCGCCACAGCCCACGGAGTCGCAGCAGGAGCTACAGCAGATCGCCCAGGTAGGCGGCGCAATGCCGCGCTGGCTCCTGGTTGGAGCGATGGATGCATGGTGGGCAAACTGTTGTAAAGATGGCTCTACTGAATAGCTAGCGGGGCCATTGTGAAGCGTGTGAAGTGGAGGATTCAGCGCATTGTTTTCAGATCCTGGCCCGCAAGCTGTTGTGAGATCTTCTAGGCGGGAACTATGATGTCGCTTGACGTTGATATTACGGTCGTATGTTTCCAATCACGCTCGTCCGTGTTGTTGATGTACTTTCACTGCCCCCCCCCCCCCCCCCAAACCGGTGGAACGTTGCGCCGTTGCCTGCATGTGTTTCCCGGTGTGGCTCACCTCCGATCCTTCATGCCCTCCACACCAGTTGTAGCCCTCCCTGTCGTCGGCGGCGCCGCCACCAGCGCCATCGCGACTCGCCTCTGCCCACGCCTACCGACCGGCGAGACGGACCCTTCGCGATCCCCAGCCTGCCGGCCGCGCCGCCGCCTCCTCCTCTGCCGCCGCCGCCGCCGCCGATGCTGGCGCCTCCACCGCCGCCCCGACTCGTGCAGCCGCCGCGGGCCCCACGGCTGCCGCCGGTGCTGCCGCTGTGGTGTGCGTCGCCGTCGCTGCTGCTTCCGCCGCGGCCGCCGCCGGTGGTGGGCACCGAGCCGTGGTGGCCGCTGCCACTGGCCAGCCGGCTGGTCAGTTACAGCGACAGCAGTGTTGACTGCTCGCCGGAGGCGGTGGCCGGCGAACCCGAGCCGGGGCCACTGCACCGGCTGCTGGAACTGGCCCAGCTGCTGATGGCAGCGCCCGGCCGGCCGGCGGCCGCGGCACCGGCACCGCAGGGCCGGCCGCACGGCTCAGCGACGGCGGCGGTCAGGAGAGCGCGGCCGCGCCCGCCGCCCGGCGACGAGCAACTGGCGCGGACGGGGACCGGACCCGGCCACCCGCCTCAGGAGTCTCCGCATCGGCAAGCTCAGCAGCGGCCTGCGGTGACGGCGGTGTCGGACTGCCATCCGCTCAAGCAACCATTTGTGCAGCAGCAGCCGGTGGTGACGGTGGGATATGACCCCGCTCACGTGTCAGAACGGACGCGGCAGCAACTCTCGGTAACGGCTCAGGGGGCCGGCTCCAAGTGCCTTCCGGTGCCACAACGTACGGCGCAGCAGCAGACGGTGGCGACAGCGCGGCCTCGAGACGACCCGCAGAAGCAGCCGGCACTGCTGCAGCAGCAGGTGACGATGGCGGGGTCCAACTGCCTCTCGCTGCAGCAGCCGGTGACGTCGGCGGGATTCGGTCAGCTTCCGTCGCAGCCGTCGACGTCGCAACAGCAGCACAAGAGCGCTGTGCCTATCTGGACCGGCTGGCCTGCTCCTAGTGACCAGCGGTCAAGTGAGGGCCTCCTGACGGAGCGAGCGACCGTAGTGGGGCTCGGCACCAGCCGGTCCTACCTGAACTGGCTCAACCAGCAGCAGCAGCAGCAGACGATGGCTGCAGCGTCTCCAGCCAGCCGTGTGCTCGTGGGGCAGACCAGTCAGCAGCAGCAGCAGCAGCAGCAGCCGGCGGCGACGGCAGTACTGGGGGCGGCCCTGCTCCCGCTGAAGCAGCAGCAGACGCAGGCGTGGGCTGCCGCGCTGACCGAGCCCATCTCGTGCCTTCCTGAGTCCCGCACAAGGTATCCTCGCCCTGCACGTGCTCCTTCCTGTCTTGCCTGCGTCACCCAGTGCGCTTGCCTCTGGATTGGGGTGTCGGGATGGTAGTGTGGGCACTACTTGTGGCATGTAATGTTTTGACAGGTGAATTTTGCGCTCTCCGGTTGGATGGAGTTTGTATTTGCTAAACAAAGGTCATTGTGACTGTTTGCAGTCACCGTGTGCCTCACTTATATTGTGTGTGCTCGCGATCAGTGGGCCCGGCATTGGCATGTGTTGTTCTGACCACCGAATGGGGCCACTTCAGGCATAAGAAGAATTACTCCAGGTCACGAAGTCGGAGTCCGGTCAGGTCTAAAAAGACCTCCAGGTGCTCCCCGTACAGCCGAAAACGTTCAAGGTGAGTGAAACCTGTAGTTTTCACCCGTTTTGGTGAACCGGGTTCTCTCGGCTGTCCTGACATGGTGGCGGCGGTGGCGTGCCGTGAGCTGACATTGGACAGTGCCTACAACTTAAGCATTGGGGTAGCGTCATGTGCCGTACTGGAACTGTGGTGCTCCAACTGCCCTTGCTGTCTCCTTTCCCACAATGGTGGTACATCGTCGCGGCAGGCGCGCTCCATTCCTTCCGTCACTCACTGCGCTTTGTTCGATTAGGTCACCGTACACAGCACCCCGTCGCCCCCCTCCCCCTCCCCCCTCTCGCACACACATTGTCCGGATTTCGCCGTGGCTTCGGCCCGCCTCTGACTCCGCGCCGGCCGACAGGCGGCGCTCGCGCTCGCGGTCCCGCTCGCCCTCCAGCTCGGGCCGGTACCACGGCGGCCGCCACAGTCCGGCGCAGCCGGCGCGCCGCACTACGCCCTCCGCCAAGCAGCTGACAGCCGAGGCCAAGATGTCGCAGACTTCGCTCTTCGCTGAGCTGGTCAAGCAGAAGAAGATCCGCGAAAAAGCAGTCAGGATGCCGTTCTTCCAACGCGACCGGCCGCCGGATACTAAGGTGACGTTTGGGGCGAGTCGGACTTGTTTAGCGTATTCGCGCGGGAGCCGGGGGCGTTGTTGTTCGATAGCGCCAGTAGGCGTATGGTTGGCTTTATGTTCGCACCTGGCGTATATCAGTGTGTATCAGACGGCATCGTTTCGATCGCAGCCGCTTTATTCGCCGGCAGGAGAAGGAGAACATGTACCCGGACCAGGACGTGATAGAGGTGAGCCCTCCGCCGCCACCGGCGCCGCCACCACCCACCGCCGCCGAGCTGGACCAGGTGGACCGCAAGGGGACGTCGCCGGCCCCGACGCCCGCTCCGGCTCCGGCTCCGGCTCCGGCTCCGGCTCTGGCTCCGGCTCTGGCCTCAGTCCCGGCTGCAGCCCCGGCTGCGGCTCCAGCTCCGGCCCCGGCGGCGGCGGTGGCGGTGAAGCCGGCGGCTAACAGCGGCCGACCGAGCCTCACCAAGCTGCCCATGCCACCGGGCGTGGCGGCCGACCAGCTGGAGGTGATCGACTCGTCGCCGGAGGCGTACTCGCCGGAGCCGGAGCCGGAGCCGCGCCGCGCCTTCGACCGGCTCATCCGCGACCTGCCCATGCCGCCCGGTTAGTGGCCGTCTCGTGGCTGGCGCATGGCGCGCTGTGAGCTCCCTCTGGCGCGGCCGGAGGGATGTGTCCGGCTGGGGCCCGCCCATGCCTCCGGCCGGCAGATGTGTTGGCCGTCGACTCCTTGTGACTCCTGACCTGGGTCGTGGCCCGACCCATTGGCCCTGTTTTCCGGCTGTAGTTGGGTTGTGATGCGTCTTGCTCATGTGACCTGGAGAGTGTCTGTCTCGTATTCTGAGTTACCCGTGTCCCCTAGTCAGTGTCTGTGGTGCTGTGGCCTGCCTCGCTCGTTTCTCACCCTCGGATAGGTTTCCCTGCGGTCTATTTCGGGATTTTGCCGCTTCAGATTTTGATGGGTAAGTGGCTAGTTGTAGATGTTATTCGGGCCGTGTTTCGCGCAGTGTTGGTCTCGTGAGGACGGGTCAGTGTCATTGTTTAAGTTAAGTCGAAGCTAGGGAATTTCAGGCTCCTTAAGGGGATTGACACCTGAGAAGCTTGCCCTCAGAACATTGTATTGGATGTCGTAGATTTAGTTTGTTGTCAAAATTAAAATGGGCTATGTTTGCGGCGCGTGACCACAACCCGACCACGTCCCATTTAATGTCCAGGTATTGCTCGTTCAGGGCCACCATCAGAGAGTTGTCAACAGTGGAATCCATCTGATCGTTGCTCATGGGCATTAGTGTGATGTGTTCGAGACCAGTGTCTAGGTTTGTCTTTTGGATTTTTACATATGACTGGAAATGCGAGATTAATTTTGCCGAAGGAATGAATTCTGCGTCCAAAGAACTGTCCAGAGTGTGCACTGCTGCCCCGTGATGTTAAGCTTGGGCGCTGATGTTTTTTTCTGTGATGGGCTCATGGTCGCGTGAAAATGTTAGAATCTGATTTTGTTGTCCATGCAGCATGCAGCGATGTGAGGAAAGCTTGGTTCCTGTATTGCTGGTGTGCTTGGACCTTGGTTTAGCTGGATACATTCTCCCATTTGGCTTCCTGGCCTCGGCATTTTGCTGTTGGAAGCCATGGGTCACCAAAGCAAAATTCTGGCGTTGCCCAGGCAACTTAACTTGTATTGAAGTAACAGCACTACCATTACAAAGATGTAATGCATGCATCACGTGACATTCTGGGCTTATGGATCCTTGCAGCGTCGTCCTTAGACGCAGCGTCGTTGTGTTGGTTTGTATTTGCGCGTCCAAGCTGCACCGGAGCTCGCTGGCCTCGTCGACCAGGCGCTGTGCACCGGCCTGTTCTTGCACGCCGGTCTGTCCTTGCGCATCGGTCTGTCCGCGCACCGGTCTGCGCGTGCCAGTCTGTCCTTGCGCGCCGGTGTGTCGTTGCGCGTCGGTCTATCTGCGCACCGGTCTGTCCTTGCGCGCCGGTCTGTCAGCGCGTCGGTCTGTCTGTGCGTGCCAGTCTGTCGTTGCGCGTCGGTCTATCTGCGCACCGGTCTGTCCCTGCGCGCCGGTCTGTTAGCGCGTCGGTCTGTCTGTGCGTGCCGGTCTGTCGTTGCGCGCCGGTCTGTTAGCGCGTCGGTCTGTCTGTGCGTGCCGGTCTGTCCTTGCGCACCGGTCTGTGTGCGCACCGGTCTGTGTGCGCACCGGTCTGCGTGCGTCCGCTGACCGAGGGCGTCACGTCCTGCCCACAGTGGTGCCGGGCACGGAGGACCTCTCGCCCGACGAGGACGGGCTCGCACTTTCGCCGGGCTCGTCGCGTCTGCCGCTGAAACGGCCCCGCATCATCCACAAACGGCGCGAGGTCGGTTGATGCTGGCCGCTGGTGACCGTCAGTGACCGCTGGTGCTTGCCGGGCGTGTGCTCCCCTCCACCGCCGCGCTCGCCCGCACTGCAGCTCGCTGTGAGCTGTGCTAGGCACGGCTGCGGCAGGGCGTGCGACGCGGGCGCTGCCGGGGACGCAGGGGATGTCATCGGGTAGCTGGGAAACCAGAGGCACGGGCTCGATTCACTACGGTGTCCGCCTGCCTGCCAGGGCGAGATCAACTCCTGACGCCGCCGACCTGCCGCTGAGTGCTCTGTCCCCCTGTCCACCCTTCTGACCCCTGGTTGACGTGTCGCCGACCTCTTTCTGGCTCATGTTGACCTCGTGACCTCGGGCAGTCCGCTGAGCGCTCTGCCTCCTTGTCCACCCTTCTGACCCATGGCTGACGTGTCGCTGACCTCTCCCTGACCCCCGCTGACCTCGTCGACCTCCACTCGTGCCGCCAGGCGGAGAGCAAGACGTGGGGAGACCGGTGTGTGGACGCGTTCGAGCTGGTGGCCCAGGTCGGCCAGGGCACCTACGGTCAAGTGTACAAGGCTAAGAACCTGGAGACGGGTATGTGTTGCGCCCAGGCAGTCCTTGTGGCTGTACTGGTGGTAGCGACCGACGGGCGGCGTTGTCGTGTCCCGCCATGTGGTGTGACGTGTGTCGCTGGGTCGTTGGAAGTTTTGCCGTGGCGCGCTGGGTGGCGTTCTGCCCCGCGTTCAGCATTCCCGCGCTGGGTGTGTTTTCGGCATGTTTCAATAGTGTGCTCTGGTCGTTGTGCTCAACAGTGGGACAGAGCTCGATTTACGGACGTTTGAACGCTGACGAGTCTGCTGGAGTACGACGAGGTAGCCGTTAAAGGACCAGTGCTGTCATGCAGACGCGACTTGGAGGGAAGGGGGATGCCTTGTTCACGTCACTGCATGTTTGTACAGGCGTGGGGCGCGTGCTGCACTCACGTTCGAACTTCGCCGCCATCCTCCGTTACCTCGAAAAACAGTCCCAGTCTTGCTTGTTTGGTGTGGATTGACACTTCGTGCTCAGGTATTCGAGTGCGGCACGTTTCCGCAGGCGAAGTAGTGGCATTGAAGAAGGTGCGATTGGAGAATGAAAAGGAGGGATTCCCAATCACAGCCGTCAGGGAGATCAAAATTCTACGGCAACTTAACCACAAAAATATAGTCAATATCAAGGAAATCGTGACGGACAAGCAGACAGCCGTCGACTTTCGGAAGGTGAGTCCAGCGCCTCGTAACCAGTGTCTGCGACGCGCGTGGTGCGTGACAGTCGTTCGTCCGACTCCTTCCAATGGATTACCCCTGTAGGGCTCTGGATATTCGACCGACAACGTGGAGTTATTGCAGTGCTCCGAGCCTTCGTGGTTCCCCTCACAAATCGTCTCCCCGGACATGGCGACATGCTGCACGGAGGTTGGTGTGGCTGGGTCCATGCTCGGGCTGTGGCCGGCTCCCGCCCCGCCTGCAACTTCATCTGACCGTTCGGTGCGCAGGACAAGGGGTCGTTCTACCTGGTGTTCGAATACATGGACCACGACCTCATGGGCCTGCTGGAGTCGGGCATGGTGGACTTCGACGAGCCGTCCAACGCCAGTATCATGCGCCAGCTGCTGGACGGCCTCAACTACTGCCACCGCAAGAACTTCCTGCACCGCGACATCAAGTGCAGCAACATCTTGCTCAACAACAAGTGAGCGCCGCCGGTTATGCTCGCCGTGCCTTCCTGGGGACGTACATGACTCGGTGCTGACTCGTGACTCGAACTCGTGACTCGCGTCGTTGCTGGACCGGCTTTTGGCAGAGAGTGACTTCGGCAAGAACTGCTGGGTGCTTTCGTGCTTGCCGCTTCAATAGGAGAGAGAGCGATGGACCCAGTAGTAATACGGAATTGGGAACGTCCTTCAATATACCAGGAAGCACCGGTTAAACGAAGTTCTAGCGCTAGATGACGATTACTTGACAGTACTCAATGCGCTTATCCCCGAGACTGTCTGCGGCGGCGGTTCTGCTAGCGCCGCTTTCGTAGCTGAACACATTGACCAGGCTTGCACTGGCCGCTGTGCAATTGGCGGTGCCGCTGGCAGCCTGCCATGCGGCATGCCTATTGTTTCTGGTCATGTAGCTGGTGCGTACAGTGTACGCATGCCGCTCCGAGGGATGTGTTCGGCCGACATGCAGACCATGCGACGCGGTGAGTCCTCCGCCGCACTGTGGGTGAATGTTGTGTTTCCGTCGCACCGACCGCGCGTTCGACCTCCGACCGCCCGGGCCATAACTGTCTCCGCTCATCGGCCCGCGTCGACTGACACCTTGTTCCGCCGCCGCAGGGGTCAGGTGAAGCTGGGCGACTTTGGTCTGGCGCGCCTCTTTCAACGCTGAGGAGTCGCGGCCGTACACCAATAAGGTGATCACGCTGTGGTACCGGCCGCCGGAGCTGCTGCTGGGCGAGGAGCGCTACGGCCCGGCCGTCGATGTCTGGAGCTGTGGCTGCATCCTCGGCGAGCTCTTCCAGAAGAAGCCACTCTTCCAGGTGCGCGGTCCGCGCCGTGCAGGCGGCCGGAGGCACATGTTTTAACGGAGGCCATGGAGACGGGCCTCGCCTGTGCTGACCCGGACTGGACGGCCCGCTGATCCGCGGACCTGCTGACCCGCCCTCGGACGGGGGGGGGGGGGTCATTCGGTGGTGACCGGGCAGTCTCGCCTCGGCAGTGGTGCGTGCGTTACGCGGCACCTGTTGTGGACCACGGCCGGCGAACGGTGCCGCTCTCACCGCCACACGTGCGGGGCCACTCGGGCCGTCTCCGGCGCGCGCTCCCCCGGTCCGCAGTCGGGATGTGGATGTGCGCGTGTGCGTGTGTGTGTGTGTGTGTGTGTGTGTGTGTGTGTGTGTGTGTGTGTGTGTGTGTGTGTGTGTGTGTGTGTGTGTGTGTGTGTGTGTGTGTGTGCGCGCGCGTGGTGCGTGCGTGCGTGCGTGCGTGCGTGCGTGCGTGCGTGCGTGCGTGCGTGCGTGTGGTGTGGTGTGTGGGTGTGTGGTGTGTGGTGTGTGTGCGTGGTGCGTGGTGCGTGGTGCGTGGTGTGTGTGTGTGTGTGTGACGCCGGCCGGGCCGACGCGCTCACGACGCCCGCCGGCGCCTCTGACGGCCCCCTCTTCCCGCTGCCGCAGGGCGCCAACGTGGAGATGGCACAGCTGGACATGATCTCGCGGCTGTGCGGCTCGCCCTGTCCGTCTGTGTGGCCGAGCGTGGTCCGGCTGCCGCTCTGGAGCACGCTCCGGCCCAAGAAGCCGTACCGGCGGCGCCTTAAGGAGGAGTTCTGGCACATGCCGTGGGCAGCGCTCAGCCTCATGGACAAGATGCTCGAGCTCGACCCGGAGCGGCGTATCTCCGCCGAGGAGGCGCTCAAGAGTCCCTGGCTCAAGAGCGTTAACCCAGACAAGTGAGCGATGCCGTTTGCCCTGAAGCCACGCGACCTTGTAAGCGTTGGGCGCAAAGTGATCGCGGTGGCCAGCGAGCCCTAGAACCCCAATCATCACCAGCATCATCGACCCTGTAGGCGTTTGCTGCTGTTTGTGTTTGTGTCTGGAACGTTCACGACCTATAGGAGGAACTTTGGCGAGTGCTGGCATGATTTGTCGGACATTTGTTTTGTCTGCACACAATGTGATCTCATGAGCGCTTGTTTTTGGCGTTACTAACGTGCATCACGCGGGGCGGCTCGTGCGGCGTGCGGTAGCACGCCGCATCTCTTCGTTGCCCGCTGTCGATCGATGCCGCCGGTGTACTTGAAACCACGGCCCGTCCGTGCCCGCTGACCGTCGCTGGCCGCGCCACAGGACGCCGCCGCCGCAGTTCCCCGTCTGGCAGGACTGCCACGAGATGTGGTCCAAGAACCGGCGTCGCCAGCTGCGTGAACAGCAGGACGACGCGCCGCGCGCCGCCGACGGCGCCCGCGACCGTGCCACCGACGCCGGCTCGACCAGGTCAGCCGCTGGAGCTGTCGGGGCAGCTCCCGGAGAGAGGGAGAGAGAGAGAGGGGGAGAGGGAGAAAGAGAGGAATATATATATATATATATATATATATATATATATATATATATATATATATAAATACATGTGATCCCGTGCTGGCTCTGTCGCGGGTCGCCCGCATTTTGGGTCCGTTGTATCCCGTTACAACTTGTTGGATGTACTAGTTATGCGGACTGAGGTTAGGGTTTGCTCTGTTTTTGCCTGGTATTACCTCGAGGCAGTGTTTTCTTAGAATTGCGGCAATCGGCCTGACTTCTCACCACATCTGTCTTCTTGGGCGTCATCGCCTGCGTACCGCGCACCTCTGCCTGTCGTCAGCGCCCCCGCGTATTCCGTGCGCTCCGCTCCTTTGACGCCGGCGGTGGGCAGGTCACGCTCAAAGCCGGAGTCGGCGCCGGCCTCGGAGAGTCAGCCGGCCTCGTCTGCCGGATCGCCGCGCTCGCCGCCGGCCGAGAGCGGCGCCGCCCGGCTGACGGCGCTACTCTCCGAGCTGCGCGCCATGGTGCGGCAGCGGCGGCCCGTCACCTGCCAACACATCACTGACATCGTCCACTGTCAGGTCAGTCACCTGCCAACACATCACTGACATCGTCCACCGTCAGGTTAGTCATCTGCCAACACATCACTGACATCGTCCACCGTCAGGTCAGTTACCTGCCACTACATCACTGACATCGTCCACTGTCAGGTTAGTCACCTGTCAACACATCACTGACATCGTCCACTGTCAGGTCAGTCACCTGCCAACACATCACTGACATCGTCCACTGTCAGGTCAGTCACCTGCCAACACATCACTGACATCGTCCACTGTCAGGTTAGTCACCTGCCAACACATCACTGACATCGTCCACTGTCAGGTCAGTCACCTGGCGACACATCACTGACATCGTCCACTGTCAGGTTAGTCACCCGCCAACACACCGCTGGCATCGTCCACTGTCAGGTTAGTCACCTGCCGACTCATCACTGACATCGGCCACTGTCAGGTTAGTCACCTGCCGACACATCACCGACATCGTCCACTGTCAGGTCAGTCGTCTGCCAACACATCACTGACATCGTCCACTGTCAGGTTAGTCGCCTGCCAACACATCACTGACATCGTCCACTGTCAGGTCCGTCATCTGCCAACGCATCACTGACATCGTCCACTGTCAGGTTAGTCACCTGCCAACACATCACTGACATCGTCCACTGTCAAGTTAGTCACCTGCCAACACATCACCGATATCGTCCACTGTCAGGTTAGTTATCTGCCAACGCATCACTGACATCGTCCACTGTCAGGTTAGTCACCTGCCAACACATCACTGACATCGTCCACTGTCAGGTTAGTCATCTGCCAACGCATCACTGACATCGTCCACTGTCAGGTTAGTCACCTGCCAACACATCACTGACATCGTCCACTGTCAAGTTAGTCACCTGCCAACACATCACCGACATCGCCCACTGTCAGGTTAGTTATCTGCCAACACATCACCGACATCGCCTACTGTCAGGTCAGTCACCGGTCAACACATCCACCGACATTGTTTGCTGCCGTGCCGATCGGCGGGCGTTATCTCACGGGCATCACTTTTTGGGACGGGGAAGGGGGTGTGTGACGAGCGTGACCGGCCCGTCTCGCTGTGTCGGCAGTGTTACGTACTGCGACCTGCCTTACTGCGACCTTACGTACTGCGACCTGCGACGTGGTGCGGTTAACGCCGGCGTTACGCAGCCGGGGTTGGAACTTTGCCGGTCGCGGTCCACCTGTCCCGGCGCCTTCGCACTGGCTAGTCTTCGGCCGTCTGTAACCCGACCCACCGGACGTTAGCCTGACGGCGGCGCTCCTCTGCGGGGGTCCTCGTCCTGTTACCGCGTTGTAACAGTGCCCACTTTGGTGCGTGCTGTTCGTCAGCGCTCCGTCGCCCTTGCGGGGACCGTCTACCCGCTCTGACGCGTCTTGTGCGCAGGTGGACGCCCCGACGCAGCGGCTGCTCGAGCCGGTGAACGCCCAGCTGCTGGTGGCAGCGTCGGCGCGTGGCCGCGAGCCCCGGCCGGACCTGGTAGTGCTGGGCCCGTCGGGTCTGGCTACGCCGCCGCTGCGGCAGGCGCTGTCGGCGCTGCTGCGACATTGCCGGCTCTCGCCGCTCGAGCGCTGCTGACCACATTCCGGCCGGCCGGCCGCGGCGCCCGGCTGTGATCGGCGCCGCGCGCGGACGCTCCCCTGCCGCGGCCGGGACGGCGCCGGAGTGGGCCGCGCGCCCCGCCGCCCCGCCGCCGCCGCTGGGTGGACGGCGAGTGCGTGGCGCTCGCGTCATTGTAGTGTTAGGATGGTTTATTATCCACAAACAATACATCTACGCTGGTGACGCTGGACGTTTAGAGGCGCTGGAGAAATCGGAGCGCGGCGTGGACGGCAGATACTGGGGAGGGAGCAGTTTTTTGAAGTACGGTGGCTGTCATTGCGAAACGTGGAGTCCATTTTGAATGAGCATCGCAATAAGCCTGCTGGCACAGAGCAGTCAGCTGTGGGCTCACAAGATGGCGGAGAAGTAAGATGATGGAGAAACTACTGACGGGAACAAACGGCTGGACTGTAAAATATGGCGCAAATCAGTAGTCAAAGTGTCCGTAGGGCCCTTTAACTAACTAGCTGCAAGGAATCGCGTCTAATAATGGAATCGGGAATGACAACGTGAAAAATAAGTAACAATAACACCAAGAGCACCAACGCAGCACCTTCATGACGCAACTAAGTAAATTAGTTGTACTTTTGTCTAGTAAAAATTGCGCAACGTTTGGGCACTAACCTTTTATCGTTGTTTTGTAACCACACACGTCATTTCTAGAATGGGCGATCCGGGTAGCTAGCGGTTACAAAAACTCAAAGTGAGATATTCATCGTAGCCTCCTTGACTGCGCGGGAATTTTTCGTTGATCGTCGTAGAAAATTGGCGAGATGAAGGGACAAGAACGTCTGGAAATGCAAATAATCATGTCCATTCTGCACCGGAAGTATGGTGGTCATTGGTCAGAATGCATTCCGCCATTTACGGCTATGAAAGACGTCCAGTACATGTGGACGTTTGTGGTCGGTACAGCGGACGGTGGAAGCTATCTAGCGAGAAGTGCACTGGTGGAAGTTTGAACACGTGCGTTATTAAAACGATATGTTGTTGGTGTACACGGCCTTGCAACAAACTGAGCACGTGACACAAAGCCTAAATGTGTTCCGAGAAGAATCGCTACCTTAAACGTCAAAGGTAATAAATCAAAACCACGGTGTGGCGCTGTGTTGAATTTGGGTGATAATGACCTCAAACCTGCATTTTTTGCGGACCAGCATTTTAGGCTGCCATCACTTATTGCACGAGGCAAACAAGTACCGCGAACATAGCATAACGCACATGCTGAGGGAGGCGAATCATATCTAAAGGGTATTAATAGTGGCGACCAAGGGCTCCAATGGCAAATCCCGTCGGAGCGTCTACTTCAGATCGAAATTTTGACGTGAATCCTGCCTCAGCATTCTGTTTCGAGTCTCGGTAGTGAGCTGGCCCGCGGGGAGCGTGCGGCTAACAGCCGCGATTCTGGTCATTCTGGTTGGGAACCCCGCCCAGCACCAGCACTAACCTCGACGCCGAGTCCCCTGGCAAGGTGCGGCTCAGTGACGCGGTGTCCGGGGTGGGGTGCTCACTCCACTCATTTGACTGGCTAACACCAGTTACAGACGCTGACTGTGTCTTTGTCGTGCACTGCTTTTTTCTGATACATACCTCAGGCGTTTGGGCAGTTCTCGTTACGACGGATATGAGGCTCATCATCGAATAACTTACAAAAGCGCCGCAACCGAGGAAGTGAAATGCAAGTAAAAACACGTGTCATGGCGGAAAAATTGAAAACACCATGATGGAACGCCAAAAATAGGCACACACCACCAAACACACAACCTTACATGTGCAAACACCGACGCCATCTTGCGGCGCATGAAGTACCACAAGCGGTCCCGCCGACCGCTACAGTGGGAACCCTGATACGGCCAGTCTGGCAGCGACAGGGACGTCATCAGAAACGCTCCAAAGCGTAATCAAACACGAAATTTCGTAAGTTAGAGCTGCCTCACACTTAAAAGCACCAATGCTCACCATCAAGCTTTTCCCGTCATACCTCATGCCTTACTTCAACATTCTCAAGTGGAGGACACTCCCTGCATGGGGCAGCATTTCTGCTGAGCGCACCCGCTCTCTGCACGTCACCCGGGCTTTCGCACGCTCAGCGTGGCCAGGGCTCGTATCAGCCGTGAGAGCGGCCGCCGTCTACCACACGCCGTCCGTGGGCAGCTGGGGCGTCATCCCGAGCCGGCTGCTTCACAGGGAAGTCCAGCCTGTGTCTCCGAGCACAGGCCGGCGGAGACGCCCGGCTGCTGAGTGTATAGTGTATTGGAGGGGCCCAGAGGGCAAGCGTGAGATGGCACGCACTGTCGGCAGGAAGCACAGCCGAAGAGCGGCACCAGCGTTCATGAATATGGCACACACCGGTGACGCGCTGCAGGGCGGGCACGGCGGTGTTCGTGGCATCTCGACATCACCACCGCGCGGGACACGCGGAACACTGCAAAAAGGTCGCAGACAGCTACCACCCGCGGAAGAGAACGCCACGCAACGTGACCACGGAAGTACGACGGCCCGGGGGTCATGTCAAATGCCGACGCATGCAGCACATCTACACAGCCTTGGGCTGCCTTAGCAAGTCCTAATTCTAAGAAAGCGAAACTAAAAGAAGCGGGTAACGGTTTGACGTCACCCGCTTTTTTGACATTTCACGTCACTGACGGCTGGCCGACTGGCGGTTGTTACAGTTCCGCGGTTCGCTCTGGAGGCGCAAGGAAGATGACGGCTCCGAACAAATGGCCCAGGGTTCCTACAGTAGGGTCGGCACGGTCTGGCGGCGCGAGGGCGGTGATAACGAGGAACCAACGTCAGTGGGGAGCGAATTTCATCGTTTGGGCCCATAGCGGTGAACCATTCTTAGCGGCACTGACCGAGACGCCAGTTCCACTGCCTGGATCTGACCGCGCGCGCAAGGAGTACAGGGGTGCTGCGGAGCATCTCCTTCGCTCGGGAGCGCCACGGCACAAACAGCGGCTCCCAGCCAGAGGACTACATCTAAAAGCAGCAGCAGCACTGAAGCCCCCGCGGCGCATCACCGCACGCCGCACATGGCACAGCTGACATCGCGCTCGACAGGTGGCGCCGCGCGACGGCCGACGGCGGCACTACACCTCGATGGTGCGTCGCATTGTCCACATGCACTCCTGGCCCCCGGAGGCCGCAATCACCTCATAGCCGAAGCGCGACACCAGGTTGACGACGTACATGGGGTCGCGGTTGAGGATCACGCCGTTGACGCAGGGCGAGACGGTCAGGTCCGTGACGCCCAGCTGCCGGACGGGCGGCGGTGCGGTCAGAAGCGGGGCAGGGGGAGGGGGAGGGGGGCTCCGGGCTCACCCGCCCCGCCGGAACAACACGCAGGTGATGAAAGGTGTCCGTGTTTTGAATGTGAACTGCCAACGGGCTTTACTCCGCTCTTGCCAGCAGGCAAATCCTCTCTCCGGAATCGGACACGTGGAACTGTAGATAATCGTGTGAAACAGGCTCGGCCGGTCGTTGACACATCATGCTGATGTACGTCTTAGCTGGAGCCTCATGAGATATGCGCGGGTGCGCGTGTGCGTGTACCTGAGGTGCGTTTTGTGCGCGTGCCTGTGGTGTATCCCTGTATGACTGTTGCTTCGAGTCCCATTTTATCATGTCACATCTCAAAACCTTGTCGGCTCGTAGTGCGTAATAGCCATTTTATGTTTGAGTGTTTAAACGCCAATGCATGCGTACCTACATACACCCAAATGTGTCTAACATGAAATATTTGACAAAACCTTATTGATTTAACAAAAAACATCATGAGTCTGAGGTTAACCAAAGCAAAAATCGGTAACCAGCCACAGTCATGTTCGCGGTACTAACCGGTTCTAGCCGCTTATGACCCGGTTTAATCCGCTTCAATCCCAAGATCACATCAATACACTGCGTCTTACCTTCAATGCCTCCTCCTGGAAATGGCTATCGTTGATGCCAAAGATGTACGTCTCGGTGGCGAAGAGGGAGCCCTTGACGGCGATGTAATGTTTGACTTCTGGCATTTTGGAGCCTGCCCCTGGCGAGGGGGGGGATTAACAGTTACACAAGACAGATCTGGTTTCGTGACGTCGGCACAGCCCCGGCGCCACAGCAGACAACTTCGGGTCCACTCAAGCATGGTCTTGGCACATTCCAGACACAACACGTGCGTCCCCGCCACTTCGCATCGTTTCACAGATGGTACAAGAATGCAACGCTCCCACAAAATGAGCATAAGGTAGGCGCGCCTGCCGCTCCGTGGACCCTGTGTTCGCTCAGTGGACCACGCCTGCCCCTCCGTGGACTATGCCTCCGCTCCGTGGACCACACCCGCCGTTCAGTGGACCTAGAAAATGAATAAAATGCAGGCACGCTTGCCGCTCTGTGGACCATGCCTGCCGCTCCGTGGATCACGCTTGCCACCCCGTGGACAATGCCTGCTGCTCCGTGGACCATGCCTGCCGCTCCGTGGACCATGCCTGCCGCTCCGTGGACCATGCCTGCCCCTCCGTGGACCATGCCTGCCCCTCCGTGGACTATGCCTCCTCCGCTCGGTGGACCACGCCCGCCGCTCAGTGGACCTAGAAAATGAATACAAGGCAGACACGCTTGCCGCCCCGTGGACAATGCCTGTCGCTCCGTGGACCATGCCTGCCGTTCCGTGGGCCATGTCTCCGTTCAGCGGGGCGGTCTGGCAGATTTACGTCACCCAAGTCCGGGCACACCCAACACAGAACGGCCCGGGTCAGAACCACATGCATGGCCTGAGATAGCTGTACGCACGACCGCCGGGGCACTTACGTTCAATGCGTTCCGGTCAGGTCTTCGCCTAGGATACATTCCAAACCGTTATCTAGTTCAGCTTGCATAGGGGGAACTGCCGAATGACCTGAACAATCTATCTACAGAAGCAGCGCTGCGTGCATTACACAAGGAACCTGTCCAGTTTGAGATTTCGACATCATTCCATACGCCGACCGCACAGGCCAACGCAAAGCTCGCCAGTCATTCTTGCAACTGAAGTCCGTTCCTCACTGCCCGGAGCCATTACACTGTGGATGTGATGATGACTGTGTCACTCGGGGACTCGGGGTATCCCACTATTTTTAGCTTTGACGTCACACGTACGCACGCAATGCGCGCAATGCACAACGCGAAGTACCGACGCAGCGTAGCCAGCTGATTTTATTCGTGGAGATGTTGATTGCAAACTCCAATGCTGTGCACACTTTCGGTGATTTCGAAGCTGTCCATTTGTCGGCATAGATCGCATTGGCAACGTCATGAATACGGCAAGCCTCGTGAACAACCCTCAGGCAATGCCAAGGACAATGTTAGTCTTTCACTTAAAACCGAGTGTTTATCTAGCGGCCAGCCATATTCGTTTCACTTTCAGGTTTACAGCCAGAGAAAACATGCCCGATTACATCGTGTGCGAGTGGTTTACCCAATTTAGCAATGGCCATTTCACGAAAGTGGTTACTTGTAACTTACGATGCCCAACCTCCAACCCAGGACTCGCGGGCAGGCGGGCGCGTATCACAGGGACATAGCTCTCAATCGCCCTCCTTCGTAATCACTGAGCTCAATACTACTCAAAGCACCTACATACCACTTAGCACCAGTGGCCAGAGGAAAAAGCACGTCGCGCGCCAGCGAAAATATGCAGCCCGACCTGATCCCAACTCAAGGACATCAGCGTTCGTGCATCAGACAAGTCCGATCTCCGAGCCTGCTGCGCCGCAGCACAAACGCACCAACACAAGTGTCCCATCGCTCAGCAATGCGACGAACGCCCTGCGGCCTCGCGAACCAGCGCACCGCTGCATTCGCTCGCCAGGACGCGACCAGGTTCGCGGCACGTGCTGACTTGCCCCCGGCGCTGCACCGACCTGTGCTCCACTGGCGCATGGCCGCTGGTTGCATGTCGGCAGCTGGCACTCCCTCCGTCGCCGGGACGCGCGCGCAGGTCACCCGCCACTCGCCTCCAATGTCGCGCAGTTACGACCACGATCAGCGCACCGGCGCGTCCGCGCGCACCGCCGCTGAACCGGTCCCCTGCCGGATTGGCGGCGCAGCCTACCCGGCTGGCGCGGCGGCGGCTATTCGCGGAGCGGCGAGCCCACCGCGAGGCGGCGCGGCGGCCCGGCCGTCGGCGGTCGCACGAGTCGTGGGAAAACAAACACCGCGGCGCTCTCGTCTCGGGCGCCGCGTTGCACGATGCAGCCTCTGACAGTGCGCGCGGCAAGAGCCGTCATTTGGTGTCAGGGCAGCGCCGCGATGTTTTCCCTGGCAACTGTTATGTGCAGTCAATTGCTACAACATGTAGCAGTCGACTGCGACTCCAACATGTTATATCTGTTGCATGTTTTCCCAGCCGACTGATAAAATGGCACGCAGGCGGCAAAAGGTGGCCAAATGAAACATAGCACATGCCACACGCCCAGCAGCGAGCACATGGTGCGCTGGTGGCATGGAAAACGTGCCTTGCAGCCATCGCTTCGTTTGAATCCCCTGTCGACAGAATGCAGCAGATACAACAATCAGGTGCTAACCGCTCACGACTGGCACTGATCCGCTCCATTAGTCGTGCACCATGTAACCCGGCCGTGTCCGCCACTGACGCTGAGCGTCTGCCCTATTTTGGACGGAGTCCTTCATCGTTGCAATATCGAAGTTCTGAAAATATCTCCCGTCTCCTCGACGACGACAAACTTTTTGGTTTGCTGGTGGCCATACGTTCTTCAGCCATGTACAAACCCGTCAGATAAGTTACACTTAGCAATGGGCGCACCTTAGCGTAGCTGTTGGGGTACTCAAACCCCAATTATCAACACTATTTGCTTTACCTTTAGCCGACACACGGGGCAGCCTTTTTAACAATAATGCCTTACTGCGGACACGTGCGTACGTCATGCATGGACACCAGATTCAATGAATCCCAAAATTCACGCAGGAAAGAGTACCGAAAACACCTACTCAGACCCACATTCTGTTGTCTGCTTTATCTTCAGCCCAAAAATATTGTCTCCCAACAGGCCAAAAATCCAGAGTTACCCAAATATCGAAATGATGTCTTAAAGGTGTTGTATCCTGTTGAAATAAATAAAGAACCACACACTTAATGGAAGTGTTAGTACTAACGACATTGTGCTCAGCAACCGTTCATAACCAACTTGATCAGCATATATTTGTCTCACGTGACGCCTCCAGATTTTGAAATAGGACGGACAACCTTCTTTAACACTGATTCAAGGACCCAGAATTCGGGACAGCTGTCTTTTGCGACTATGTCACATAAGTAACTGCCGTCATCTTTGATAATGCCAAAGAGCGCCTTCAATTTTACACAGCAAACGGTACCAGTCAGCATCAGAATGACACACTTCATACTTCCCACATTTCTTTTAACGGAAAACGTGGTTCGTTTCGTTGAAGATCAGATCAGCCATTATCCCACACGTCAGCATCGGTTTTTCGGCATATTTATTTCTCGCGTCACTTTTGCTAATGTCGAAAAACTGATGCGCCACCTATGCCACGGCCGTTGTATGCATTAGGTGTGAGAACGTTGTGGCAATGATATGACGCTATGACATTGCGAACCATCCTTCGATGTTTGCTTGTGCTGAATTACGCAAGAGACAAACCGCTATTATCATCGTGACGCTATGTTGTTGTATGCATGCTGCAGCATCCCTGTATGCAAGATTCCGGTCATAGTCGCGGCATACTTGATACTTTGCGACTATTTCTATTGTTTTTGCATTCATATTCATTTGGGAAAAGGGTGAGCAACGACGGCAGCATTTTCATACGTGACGTTACGTCATCAACTCTCGGTCTGCAATGGGAGGGTCGCTGGGCTGAGTGCGACCAATACTGCGTGAACTCTGCGATATTGCTGAGGAAACGATATGTCAACACGCAGCCATGGAATCATAATTACACTGCAGCACACGGGTTTCGGCCACAGGTTTAGCTGCTGTATAAATCGGAACGTTTGATGCCCTACCGTTATCACAACTACTGACGTGTACAATGCGTACACGTCGCTTATGACAAATGGAAGCGCTTCGTACCAAAGACAATTCGTCGTTTCAGTGATTGAAGCGTCGCGAAACTCATGCCTCCTCGCGACTGTCCGTGGAGATAACGCCTAACTTGACCCACGACGCTCCCCTTGCCGTGTTTGGAGGCGAGTAGATTATGATGAATATAATACGGTCTATCGAGAACAACTTTTATAGCAGCTTTTTACAGCTTTCGTTTACTTTAGTGATGAGCCAGAAGCCACGCAAGTTCGTTCGTCACACTCGGAACGTGCGGATTTGGAATCTAGTAAGTCGCGTCGGCGTCTGAAGCCATTCTGCCAGCATGCAGTGGCCAGCCTCCTCACCTCAGTTGTCGCTGTCCTCGGTCTCGTCTGGCGACGGCAGATCCTTCTTGAGCGTCCACACGTAGCTGGTGCCGTCCTCCGAGACGCCCGGACACGATGTTACCACCTGGCCGATAGGCGGCACCACCGTCATCAGGCTGGCGGGCGACGCGGCACATGGAGCCAGCTCCAGGCAACGGCGCCAGACGCCCCTCACCACCACCGCTGACCTCGCATGGCCTGCGCCAGCGGCAAGTGACAGCTTCATCATATCAGACACGATTATTTTCTTCGCAATGTATCCCATCATGCACACGCGATCCCCTCCAACGCTATGTACTTTGTTCGCGAGCCCGATCAGTGGTCAACAGTTCCCTGCGCAGCCAGTGTCCGGTGGCGGGCCTCGCCATGGGTGTCGACTGCCGGCTATCGGTGGAAAACCCAAGTACCGCATCAGGCGAGGTACCACTGCAGCGTGTACCAATCACACTCGGCGAAACCGGATTTGTTTTCCATACGGCGAGGGCATGCTTCCTAAACGCGAACTGGCATGAGCTCATATGTCCTGTTCGATCAGGATAAGTGCACGTAAAAATGGCATGCTGTGACGTAACGTGGCTGCAGTGATCGCGGGCATTTGAAGCCACGCAGCTACAGCACCACTGAATTTGTGTTCGGCTTGTAACTCCCGCATTGTGTTGTGCCTTCCGGTAAAAACTGGCATTACATGTTCAAACAGCCATGACAGTGCCACGCGGAGTGAATCGTGTAACTGCTACAGAAGCCAACCCGGGACTGGCGGCGGGCCAGGGAGCGACAAGAAGCGGGGTTCGCTTAACGATATGCGCATCATCACTCTTTGCCCCACATGCATCAATGCTGACGGAAATATCCCGCGAGCATCTGGCTCGCCCAGGCATCAAATAAACAAATATAGAATAGATAACATTCGGCACTGTTGCGTCCCAAACACAAATTAACGACGTCGCACCGTTGGTCCTGAACACTGGGTCTTCAGTCAAACATTGTACCTAATCAATGCAGACATGCTGAAAAATTCAAGTACATTCAATTCCTGAACACCCACGCCCAGCATGTCTAAGCTGCCCATCTGATGTGCAAGACGTGGATGGCCACACAATTACATAATACGTGGTAGCGTCGCCAACGGTGACGGCTTGCTTGCGCCCACCACATACGCTCGCGCGTGTCACCAAATTATGCTGCTACCTCCTACGCAGATCAGTATATACCGCCCACCTGCAGCATGACATCTGGCTGGGCTCATCTCCGAGCAAACCCCACAGCAACTGAAACCTGGCTCGTCCGCGCCGCGACACTACGGCAGTCGGCCCACCAGCCAGCCGAGGGGTAAAACCCGCCACTTCTCATTAGCTGGCAGCGGGCCTGCCAGCGCCTCACTCACGTGGAACCCGAGCACGTCCAACGCTGACAGGATGACACAGGGATGCTGAGGGAACAGCACCGTGTAGTTGTCTGTCTGTCCAAGAGCCTTGAAGCGCGCCAACTGCTCCCGGTCATGCACTGTCGACAGTGGCTGCAGTCAGACGGCGACCACGACAGTGGCGCCACCTAACGGACCACCCCAACTGAAGTATGCACGGGCGACGCTAGATGCGAGCAGAGATGCACCCGTCAGCCACCACCGAGCACACTGCAGGAGTGAAGGAACAAAACTCATCAGGATGCCGCAGGATAGGTCCAGCAAAAGCCAATACAGGGCCCACGCTTTCACACGGATGACAGAATGACAGCAGGGGTCAATGCCACCAAGCATTAGCCTCAAATAAGTCCATGTCATAGACAGGAGCATGCTGAATGTGATACTTGCCACCAGCTTATGCATGGTAACTTTGGGTCTTCCATAAGCTATGTTACACATTCTTTTTGTTATATTTCAATCCCTCACCCTCCCTGATTATGCAATGGTCATGCTGGAAACAAACATCTCGCATGGCAGGTTGTTGGGCACAGCACCAAAAAAAGTGGCTGTTTGGGTCCAGTCCAACTGAGTTTGAGGTACAAAACAAAGACAAGCATGCTGCTTGCCAAGAGATGGAGCTAACTGCATCAAATTTGAAAGTTTTGAACAATTGTCCCAAAAGACTTCAGCAAGATATGCAGCCACATAGGAAAAATAAAATGATGCTCCCAAATATACTCCTTAAAGCACTCCAGTTGTACTCCATCCATTCCCTTCCCCTCTGTCCCATTAGAAAAGAGTGAGTTGAGGAGTGAGTTGTGGGTGGGACAGTACAACAATAAAAGCATAATAGCATGAAATGGAAGATTAAATCATAACAGATAAATAATAAAACAGGGTGCAGTAGGAAGACAAGCATTAGGTGGCAAACATTACATAACAAGGTGAGATATCACAATAAAGACATGGTAAAATCAAACAACTGTCATGCAGGAACATAACTACATAAAACAATTCACTCATGAAACATGGGTGGCATCTATAAAACTAATAATAAAACCACACAATATTAATCATCATGTACACCATGACATGCATGCCATCATATAAATCATGTAGATCATGACATGACATATACATTATCACATCATGTTTGTAATGATACCATGTATATTACCATGCTTTATCATGCAACCCCAGCCATCTAAACTCCAACTTATGTGCAATAAGAGCAGACCTTGGTGTTATTACATGAACGCTCACCCTTTAACCCAGAGACAGACACCAACCAGGGGTTGCGGTCAGTGTCCCTCGGTGTCAGATTGCCTTTAACGATGATGTATGGCATATGAAAGCCAATCAGGTACCCTGCAAACATAAATCATGTAAGTACACCTACCTATTGTTCTTCTCATAAGTTTAAAAGACCTGAGATTGTTGGCAGGTGCAGCAGGCAGGCAGGCAGGCAGGCAGGTGCATCATTGATATTCTTAACCAAACAAACATCTCACAATATGTTACCTTGGTGACCAACATGCAAGTTCAGCATTTCCCTGCTTAGTGCCTTAGTGCAAACAAAATGGCATTCTTGGCACACAGATTCACAAGCACATGCACTACTGCAACAACATCAAATCAAATCACACAAACAAGCATACAGGTAGATGAGTGCATGGAACATCCCTCCTCTCAGCATGTTGAGGCTTGCAAATGATAAGTGCATGAGCTACATAGATATAGCTGACAGCATTGCTGGCATTGGCCAAATGCTTCCTCAAACTTTAAGGTGAACTGGGTAAGCTACAAGTGTAGTACAAAATGATGTTCATTGTATTTATAATGTACAAAACTAAATTATAGTGATGATTTGGCTACTATACAGCCTTTCAGCATAAAATTTTCCATATGGGAGGACTTCTCTAGATCATATCATACCAACAATGATTCTAAACCTACAAAATTGCATTATCTCACTGTTGAAATAAACTTATGCCCTCACACAAGAATTGGCATCACACCATCATGCTGGCATACTCAGCATGTGAGAGAAATGGATGGTGCTGATCATTGATTTGATCCATTCCACCTGTTAACTCAACAAATAACATGAATTAGTCATTAGTCAGCTGGGCACAGCAAGGTTAGGTTGAGTCCCAAGAAAAACATGTGGTCAGGTTGGTTTCAGCCAGGTTAAATTTAGGTTACACCTAAGACATTTTAGCAGTGTCTTGGGTTGACATCATTTTTTAAGTTGAAATTCTCTGGATGGCATGCACAACAGCGCCTCATTATTAGACTGGTATGTGCAAATATCATTCAGTTGTGATTTTGAGCAATATTTTTGGAAACTCAGGCACTGTATGCTGAGCAGGTGTGTCCATATCTCAGAAGACACACTAACGAATGATTTGGATAGATTTTGTACACAAGTTTGTAAATGGATCACAACCAATGAAGGCACTATAGGTTTTCACCAATGCCTGGTACCCGCCACTCTGACACAATGTACCTTGGTAGCAGATAGTAGTTCCAGGGACCAAGAAACGTGCCCTCAACGAGTAATATGCTTTAAAGCCGAGTTCCAAAACACGTCATACTTTGCTGCCAATTAGCCCACTGTTCGTCAACTCCGGACACAATCCCGTCTTTTACGAATGCCGCCTCCAAGGTCGCTGTGTCAGGTAGAACCGAAAACCCGACATATCAATCATACATGCTCGTCGTTGACCCCGCTTATTCCATCGCTTCGGAACCTTCACCAGTCAGTTTGGATCCATGAGTTGAACGTGGGAACAAGTGCCGATATCCTGACCTGAACAACGGTCAAACACCTAAAATACGCTACGGGAATAATCAATATGCAAAAGCAGACAGCGCAGCTATTAAAACCTCATGCTGTGATCGCTGTGAAGTTTTCACCAATCGATGCGCCATACTTGATTGTATCTTGAAGCGCTATATATGGCGACCCTTGGCCAGGTCATCTGGTGTTAAGTTTTACAGATTCCAGAACCATTGCTTGCAGGCATTTCAGATCCCAGAAGCTATCGCCTTGATCGCTGCCAAGCCTTTACAATCCAACGCATGGCATCCCACTCCCTCTCGCTTTCCCAAACGCGGTGGTCTAGGCCAAGCGAGGCCGAGTGCGCCGTGTAGGGTGAAAGATTTGGATTTGTGGCTGAAAGCATTATCATCCCACGATGACCACGATTTAAATTGTCTTTTTGCAAGTTATGACACGCAATGCCGGCATAGCGCCAAATTCTGACTGAAAAATGTGCTGAGGTTGAGGAGGTCCGATCGTTTTACCGAGCACATTATCGTCATTGCGTCGTCCTGACATCAAAGGAGAACGGCTTAGCACAGGGTGTAAAACTTTCGGAATAGCGGTCCAAGCACGATTCGTCTGCGGATTAAGTTTGGTTCAGAATGAGATTGCGGCATCGACTCGAATGGCTGTGTTGGAGTAGAAGGGAGCCGTGCACATGTTTGTTGTGCCCACTCACGCAGGCATTTTGTAATATTTTCCCCGATGTGAGCGCATTTCCCGGTATTAACACGGCTGGACACGTAAAGACCAATGTTGTACATGAGCCCATTGAATGATACCATGCTGACCGGTACGCTGTGATCATTGCATAATTGCATGTCCCCTAGCACACCTACTTGCTGCGTTTCCTTTAGTACCATGATGAAACCGAATGCTGCACATTAGGGCTAGCATAGTAGCCAGTCTAGTTGCAAAGTGAAACGAAACTACGAATCACGCTAACCTTTCATGAAAACAGCGCATCTGGTCCACTCAACCTGTATATCCATACCCCCCACCCCCCCCCCCCCCACATAACTAACCACTCTGACTAGAAAACCCTGCGTTTGTTGAAATCTCGTTGTCCCGGTCAAAACACTACTACACATTGCATATCATAACATGCAACGGGTGCGTGTATGAAACGGATGTACGATGCACATAATTTCCTGGAAGATTCTAGCGAGCCTTTGCCCCATAAACAACCCCTACGGTACTATGTCGTGGAATCAAGGCACTCAGCCAGCTGCACTTTGCACCACTTTACTTCTCTGTCGCGTACACCACATCCCCAACTCTGATGACGCCTCTCCTCCGCAAGCCCAGGTTGATCCCGAACAGCGGCGAGTCGCGCACCACCTCGCGCTGCGCCGGATCGCTGCTCTGGCGGTACTGCCGCAGCGTCTTGAGCGGCTGGGCCTCAGCGTCCTTGACCGCCGTTTCCGGGTCAATTGTGACGAACAGACAGCGTGTGCACGGCTTCACGTTTTCGAACATGGCGTCACCAATCGCCAGGTAGCGCCAGCGGTCCTCGGCGAAGGCGTCAGCGCCGGCGATGACGACGTTGGCGCGGAAGGCGTCAACGCCGACGGGCCGCTCCAGTCTGCCGTTCAGCTCGGCCACGGACGCCTCGTTCATCAGCATGTAGCCGGCCAGGTCGGCGAAGGCGGAGCCATCGCACGTGCGTACGGGGAACGGCGGCACGTGCGGCCGCCGCGCCGAGCGTCGCAGCGGGAACCAGCGCAGCCGGGCGCCTCCCGGCAGCGAGGGCACGGCGGCGGACAGCCAGGCGGCGGCCGCGTCCCCGCAGTCGAGTGCCGGCACGTGGTCGTACCAGATGCGCGCCTCGCAGCGGCGGTCGAGCGCGGCCACCTTCGGCCGGCCGCACGACGAGCGGCGGCGTGTCCGGCGCTGACAGCCGCACGCCGTCTGGCAGCACCTCGGCAGCGACCAGTACCAGCTCCGGGTGTCGCCGGCCCGTCAGGAAGCCGCCCTCCTCGTCGGTGACGACCAGGCTGCGGTCGGCAGTGTCGCCCAGGTGCGGCCCCATCTGCTCGCAGCTGACCTCGTCGGCCTCCACGCGCCGGCCCGACTTGAGCGGGTACACGCACAGCTTGGAGACGGTGCCAACCGCCCGCATCATGGCCAGCTCCGGCAGCTGGTCCCCAAACAGTTGGAAGTAAATGGTGTTGAAAACCTCTTGGAGGAGCCAAGAGATGATCAACATGGTGGTTCTAGGTTCTAGGCAAGTTCTAGGCGCTACCTGGAATGCGGCAATGGGGTTATTTATCATATTCTAATAGAGCCAAACTGTCACAGCATTACAGTTGAAACAGATTCTGGTGGAAGAGCTATAATCTCTGTTGCAATTCTGGTGCCTAATGCATACACTTATAGCTCAAGACCAATGGAGGAGTGAGGAGAAAGTGGCATACGAATATACCAACAAAATAGCAATATTACTGGAAATGTAATTTTGGTTTAACCAGGTCCAGGTTGTAGAATTAATGGAATTGAGAAGCACTAAAATGAAGTGGGCAATATTTTTTGGGGGGAATATAAAAGCATTGAAGCACAGACAGGGGCAATGTATGTAAGCCATGGAAATGTTATCAGCAGGTACCTACTGGATGGTGATACTAAATGGTATGAACTGTGTACACTGTGAAGGTACAATCATGGCACAAAATGTCACAGGGCTATGAACTTGTGGAAAAAAGAACTTCATAGCAAAATAAGATACATAGCAACAAGATATCAAAGTTCCAAGGCAAAAATTTGTGACATGATGCTTAACATTCTACATCACTTTCATTTAACAAAAATTAAAACAGGCACTTCAGATATCAGCAAATACAATGCTGATATTTGGTTATAACATCACCAAACCTCAAGTAACATTTAACTCCAGAAATGAGAAAAGCTGGTGGCCAATGAGAATACATAGGCAGCTTTGGACTATGAAAACATTTTGTAATGTTATGTTACATTACACAGTTGTTTTAGTTCAATTCAGGCTGGGGAGCAGTTTTCAAACATTATTTGAAGGTTGAGCATGACCAATAGCTTAAGATCACACAAAATATACCAAAACATGTTTTTCCAACATTCAGCTCACTCAATTTCCAAAGCCTCTTCAAAGAGTTTGGGGGCATCCAGCCCTCCAAACTTTTGGAACGCAACAAATTCCAAGACTAAACACGATTTGGCTTGGCCCGAGTTCAGTTGGCATGCCTCGCAGGTTCAGTTAGGTAGCCTTGGGTTCAGTGCATGAACGCCATATGAATGTCCGGCACAGTGCATACACTATTTGCAGATAGTACTGGCGACGGTGTAGGTGTGCGTGCGCGTGCGGATGTTTTCACGTGCTCACAAAGAAAACGAATTCATCACCATTGACCTATACGTTCATCACCGCCACACCGAGATGGGAAGGGAAGATGACACCAAGCGTTTGCAGCGCCAACGCAGAATAACCAAGCTCGATGTCTTTTCGAGGCGCGTACCCCAGGGCTTCTTTTTTAAGGCCAATGCAGAGTCCTTTCTTCCTCTCGACGGCCTACAGCCATTTCCGAGGGGAACAGCTACGCCCAACTCAATGCCAGGCAAGGATAGCGCTAAACCGGCTTATGCTGTCCGGCGCATAGCAATGGGGAACGCTCTTGAAGTTACGTTGGGTTAATACGGCTCATTTTTGTCCAGAGAGATCATGGTAAGGAAAGTAAACCACAGCAAAAGATATGTTGGATTCGCCGACGCACAACGCGCATTCAATACGCTTGAACGACGGATGACCCCTCCCATCCGCCCTTCCGCCAGACTCCTCAAGTGCCGCGAGTACCGCGTGCTGTGTCAGTGGCAGCGGTCGCTGGTCATCTGACATGTCGGCAACCTGTGCAATGAATGGATGTGGGGCCGCTTCATTGCAGCAGCAGGGAGAGCAGTCCTGGGCTCCGCTCCCCGGCACCAGTAGCGCAGGCAGAGGGGGCACAGGGGTCACGTGCCCCCTTAGGTTCCGAGGGGCCCGGCCCCTCGAGAACCTGCGATTAAGGGTGCAAAAAGCCAGTCGGTCTTATCCGGGAGTCCCAGCCTGCAGGGCCAGGCACTCCAAAGCCAGCCAAAGAACCCTGTGCGCTGACCAGGGGCCCACGGAGTCGATAAGGGCGTATTTTTGGTCAGACTCCACCAGTTATAATTTCCCAAGCAGGGACAAAGCCGGAGTCAGAGATTTAATTCGTTCGGGGCCCGACAGTGCCTAACGGGGCCCTGTGTTGTCAGGGGGTCCTACGTCGGCCGGAGGCAGCGTTCGAGGAAGCCCGAAAAGGCTAGGGGGCTCACGGACCCGACGAGCAACTACCCGAGTGAAGGTTCTAAGGGCATAAAGGGCTGGTCGGAGGCTCATTCAGCGGCCCCGACCTGCGAATACGGACCCTCAAATAACTTTCAGGGGACTCTGCGCCGGACGGGAACCTTCTGAGTCGACATGGGCCTATATGCTGGTCAGACGCTACCAGCACCGCACAGTCGGCACTGTGTCGGTGTGGGCCTGAGGGCCCACTTCCTTATCAGCTACGAAGCCGGGGCCAGTGATTTACACTGGTAGGGGCTCCTGTATCTGTTATGGGCCAAAAGTGTCTGACAAAAGGTCCTGTACTCGCAAGGGTCCAAGGGCCACTGGGCCACGTCAAGGTTCAGGACCAGTTTTTGATGAGACCCGAAGAGGGGCCCGGGCGGACCACCGAAGCCGACGATCAAAGGCCCGGTTGAACGATATAACAACCCGAAGGAGTGGCTGTGGGTTGCATAAAGAATCGCGGCCCGTAGGGTAGTGATCTGAAATGAGTCAAAGGTCCTCCTGCATTGTTTGAGGAACCCCTAAGACAAAGCGGGTGTTTAAGTTGGTCCGAGAACACGGGCACCGAGCAGTTGGCCCCATGTCCTTCTGGGCCCCTGAGACCCATTACCCAAGCAGAAGCGAGGCCGGGGTCCACGATTTTTAATGTTCGTGGTCCCTGACGCAATAAGGGGCTTCTGTGTCGGTTAGAGGCCACAGTATCGAACAGGGGTCCTGTGGCAGCAAGTGGCCCGAGTCGGAGCGGTATTCGAGGGGGACCGAAGAGGGGCAGAAGGATCTCTTAAGACCAAAGGTCAAGGGCACGATGGGATGGCTGAAGGGTCCGAAGGGCAGGCTGTAGGGCACATTTGGGACCCCCACACATAGCGTCGTAATCTCAAATATCTGTAAGTTGACCTCTTGCGCCCATAGGGACCCGTGAAACAGGGCGTTCCTCTTGTTCGACCAGAAATCACGAACAACGAACAGTCTGCTCCGTGCTGGTCTGAGCTCTGGGGGCCCATTTCCCAACAGGGACAAGGCTGGGCTCGCGATTTACAGTGGTCGGGTTCCTGTATCGTTCAGGGGCCTGTGGTATCGTGTCCGAGTCTTATTTATCAGTAATTGGTCTTAGACGCCATGTACTATGCTCAAGCTCTTCATCTATATTTCAGACCCCGCGTCATGTGGCAATATACAAGCGTTGTGCGCCACCGAACGACAACTATATAAAAGGGAAGCCGGCACTAAAACATAGGACGGCTACCGTACAGGGTAGTACATCGCATCACCCTTTTCAACATATATACCTTACACACTAAAGGTCCAGGCGGTCGGGTTTCTTCAGAACTCGATCGCAACGGGAGGTTGGGATGTTTGGCGGTTCGTGGTCTGGTACCGCCACTGCTCTGGGGCTCGTCTGAGCGCAGGCAGCTCGTGGAGGTGGGCTGCTTTGCGCTGGCACCGTCCTGGCTGGGGTGGTGTTGTCCAAGCGAGTTGGAGACGGGCTGGCAGATGTCGCCGGTTCCTCCGACAGACGGCGCCGTTGGCCGCTCTGATGGTGTGCGACCTTGGTTCATGCCGCTGGTCCACGACGGTCGCTGGTTTCCATCGGCCGCTCTGTGGGTGCTGTACGCGGATGGGTTGTCCGGGACTGAGTGTTGACAGCTCAGTCGCATGTCGGTCGTGGTACGCCTCTTGGGTGGTCTGGCGTTCCACCAGGCGTGGCAGGACGTTGGCCTGCTCTCTTCTGGTCGGGTCTTCATGGGCAGATTTCCCCGGACTTTCCGACCTTGGAGGATTTCGGCTGGGCTTGGCAGGTGACTGTCGATGGGCGTCGTCCGCAGGGTGAGGAGCGCCATGAGCACGTCACTGCCGCTCTCTAGAGCCTTCTTCATGGTCTGCTTCAGCGTTTGGATGGTCCGCTCTATGAAACCGTTGCTCTCTGGGAAGTGGGGTGAACTCGTGATGTGCTCGATGCTCCACTCCCTCGTGAAGCAGGCGAACGACTCACAGTCGTACTGTGGTCCGTTGTCATTCCTGATGGTGTCTGAGATGCCGTATTCCGCGAAAATTTCCTTCAGAGCGTTGACTGCTTTGCTGGTGCAGTGCTCCGGCATCTTCCTTACGATCGGGAACTTCGAGAAGTAGTTTGCGACGGCCAGGTACGTTTGGGAGTTCAGATGGAAGAGGTCTGTGCCGATGATCTGCCATGGGCGCGTTGGCAGCTCCATTTGTGCCATCGGCTCCTTTTGCTGACTCCTCATGTGCTTTTGGCAGGTTGTGCACTTTGCCGTCTCCCTCTCGATGTCTCTGTTCATGTCTGGCCAGTAGACACATTCTCTTTCTCGCAGCTTGCACTTGACCTGTCCTTGGTGGCCTTCATGTATTTTTTGCAGGATTTCTTCCCTCATCTCTTGGGGGATGACGACTCTCTCCCCCTTCAAGACGAGTCCATCTTCCACCGCCAGTTCATCTCGGTACGACCAGTACGGTCGGGGGACGGAGGCAGGCCTTTTCGAGATCCAGGCCAGCCTGCGACGATGGCGTCACGGAGTTCCGTCAGCGTTTTGTCGCGCGACGTTTCCTCCCTCAGCTTTTGGAGCTTTCCGGCACCGAAGTGCACGAGATGGATCTGCAGGTCGAGCTCAATGTGGCTGTTTTCTGCCGGCGGGAGGCGCGACAGTCCATCTGCGAGCAGCATCTGCTTGCCAGGTTTGTAGGTGATCTGCACGTCGTAGTTTTGCTGACGCATCAACATCTTCTGAAGTCTTGGTGGTGCTGCTCGGAGGTTCTTCAGTTGGATCATCTCCAGTGGCTTGTGGTCGCTCTCGACGGTGAAGTCGCGACCGAAGAGGTATGTGTGGAAGCGTTCGCACCCAAACACGACCGCCAGGAGCTCTCTTTCGATGTTCGCGTAGCTCTGCTCGGCTTCTGACAGCGACTTTGAGGCGAACGTGATGGGCTTCCCGTCTCGCACGAGGGCGGCTCCCAGGCCTTTCTGCAAAGCGTCGACTTCGACTCGTGTCGGCTCCCTTGGATCGAAGTATGCCAGGGTCGTCCCCTTGCAGATTCGGTTTTTCACCTTTTGGAAGGCTACTTCGTGGGCTGATGTCCAGCAGAACTCGGCTTCTTTCTTCAGAAGTCCTCGGAGTGGTTCTATTGCATCTGACAGCTTTGGCATGAACGGCGACATGTATGTGATGACGCCGAGGAAATCTTGAAGTTCCTTTTGGTTGGAGGGCGTTGCCATCGCTTTGATGTCCGTGACCTTGTCAGGGTCGGGGTGCGCTCCGTCTCGGTCATACGTGATGCCGTAGAACTTGATGGACTGCTGCTTGATGGCGCACTTCCTGCTGTCAAACGTCAGTCCATGTTTCTTGGCGACGGTGAACAGGTGGTGGAGGTTTGCATCGTGGTCGGCTTTGTTCTTGCCGAAGACAGCCACGTCGTCTGCGATTCCCATTGTTCCAGGACATTCCTCCAGGATCTGGTCCATCTTGCGCTGGAACACGTCCTAGGACATGACCAGGAGTTAAATGAAGGCGTCATGGAACAAATTATCATTGGCAGCACATGCCATACTGAGGTTCAAAAAGAGCTCCTCAGCAAAGATAACACTCTCAACCTGGACAAAGTGCTGGAGGTGGGTCGCACACATGAAGCGTCCATGCAGCACATGCAGCAAGTGAAGAGCGTCCAATCCCACTGCTGCCACCATGTGGTATCGTGTCCGAGTCTTATTTATCAGCAATTGGTCTTAGACGCCATGTACCATGCTCAAGCTCTTCATCTATATTTCAGACCCCGCGTCATGTGGCAATATACAAGCGTTATGCGCCACCGAACGCCAACGATATAAAAGGGAAGCCGTCACTAAAATATAGGACGGCTACCGTACATGGTAATACATCGCAGGGCTCACAGTGCGTTACAGGGAATTTTGCCTTACAGGGCATTCTGCCTCAACAAGGGGCTTCGATTCGACCAGGGAAAGATTTGCTCAACAGGGACGGGGACGAGAGCCCGAATGGCAGAGGGTCTCTTGCGTTGGTCCCGGCTCTGACAGTTAAAGGAAACATAAAAATTATGATGGGTGCTTACACTGAGATAATGGAAGAGTCCTTTGCCAGTCAGGGCCCAGTGCCGACCGGTGGGCTCTCCAGGGCTGGAGGGTCCACCGGTCGGCCAGTTGGGCACGTAAACCTCAGTGAGCCCGTTGACCCCAACCGGAGTGTATGTGATAATTATTTCACCACCTGTGGAGAGCAGGGATGTTGTTGCGTTGATGACGGTTCACGCGCCGGTGCTCGGGTCGGACTGCGTGGGTCAGAAGGCCTCCCGCGTCAGGGAGCGGGTCAATAAGATATCATGTATCCCTCTAGGGGCCTCCGGATCGGCCAGGGAATTCCGCCCCATGTTGCCAGAATGACGGCCGGAAAACACACCGCGGTGGGCAGAATGGCTCTGCAGCCCTTGACCGGGGACAACAATGCACCCCGTAGTGTTGCAATCAAGAGGGCCCCTTTACCGGAAAGAAAGAAGGGGTCTCACTAGTGTTGATTGGAGTGGGTCGAAATGGTTTCAAAACGTACAAGATCACCCCATGTTTCCCTGGTAACATTCATTATTTTGCAGAACCGACTAGTGAACAAATACCATCAAAACTTTTGAGCATGCGCGTCGGGTGCTGCTAGTGCAGTGGTTAACGTTAACCACTGCACGACTGGGAAACCACATGTACGGGGTTTGATTCCTCGCGTTGCCCGTCCTTCCCGCCAGGTCGAGGCGCTGGCGGCGCCATAGATACAACAGCTAAGTGCGTCATAAAGCCCCAATGACACGCCCGTAATTTCGGGGAGCAATGATAACGATGACTTGGGCCGCACTTTTCCTAAACCCAACGGCGTTGGCCACTGCAAGTAACGCCAGGGGGTGAGCGCCGAGCGGGTCACAATGACCATGGTGAAAGGATGTTTCTTAATGTCCTTCAAAATAAATTCGTAGAGCCCAAAGATCACACTGGGTGAACCTTTTTATAGCTTTCAGCCTGTGCTCTGGACAGATTGACAGTTACAGCAACGCGGAAAAGAAGGATTTTACCCTGCTCTTCCAACTCCACCCCTAGATCTCGTCACCGCTTCGCGGTGCTGTAAAGACCGATACGTTATTGGCATCCACCTAAAAACCGCATGGGTGAAATATACGCCCGGAATATCTGTAAATATACGATTTGATGTCCAAAAATGTTTTAAGGTACTTATTTCAGATGTGTCGCCATTTTCGTCCACCTGTTGGCCAAGGCCTAGTGTCAGCCGAGGGGCCGACGCCGCGCGGCCAAAGGAGACCGCAACGCTGTTTTTTTTGTTTGTTTCTGAGATATGCGAGAGCACCTACTCAAAACTGCGTTACAGAATTTGTACCACTTATCAGTTCTGACTGACTGTTGAACACATCCAGATATACATGGCTTGGCCATGTTAAAACAATTTGTTAACCCATTTTGATCTTCAACCTGCATTCGCGGAATCCTTGCTAGCTCTGTAGAACTCATATAAAACTTTTGACAAAATTTCTGGGCTTTATCCGTTTAAAAGAGTCTAGTGGACCATTGTAAAACGAAGGGCGCCGGTAATTTATTTCATGCAGCCATTTAACGCATGGTTTTGCCAGTTGATTTACTTTAAACTTGAGTAGAATTGACCCAGCGGTAGAGCCTGGCCTATATTTCAGTTAAAGAAGGGTATATATAAGGATGTTTTGGTATGACCGGTATGAAGTCTGGCGAGCAGCACTTCCTTGAGGCGATTATTTTGATTAATTGTCGGCCTGCGCTGAAGTGTGGGTTTGATTGGGTGAAGGTCGTGATTAGCACGTTGATCGCATTTTGTTTGGACAAAAGACCAAGATGTAAATTGATGACTGCAAGAGTATCAGAAACCGGGCAATGATGATGACTACATTCTGGCAACATCGGACTTTATTTTGCTTCCCGTCAACGGTATTTTTTCCATGAATATTTGCGTGTCCGGGCAACCGGAGAGATATTACCTGAGTTTGTTTAGGAAGGGAGCAGAGCGTTTGTCGTATGCCGTGTAGAATTAGATGGGATAACTTATGAAAAGTGATGAGAACCTGTAACGGCGAATAAAAGTCGGTGCATGAGACTGTTCCGCGCAGACCTTGCTTAATGCAGAGGAGGATCGTCAGGATTGCTGTATGTTCAGCCGTGTACACGGTGTTGTAATTTGACAGGCGGTTTGACTTGTGGCAATTCCGATATATCAAGGCGAAGGCGGACCCTGTGGCAATTCCGATATATCAAGGCGAACCCTGTGGCAATTCCGATATATCAAGGCGAAGGCCGACCCTGTGGTAATTCCGATATATCAGGGCGAACCCTGTGGCAATTCCGATATATCAAGGCGAACCCTGTGGTAATTCCGATACATCAGGGCGAAGGCGGACCCTGTGGTAATTCCGATATATCAAGGCGAAGGCGGACCCTGTGGTAATTCCGATACATCAAGGCGAAGGCGGACCCTGTGGTAATTCCGATATATCAAGGCGAAGGCGGACCCTGTGGTAATTCCGATATATCAAGGCGAAGGCGGACCCTGTGGTAATTCCGATACATCAAGGCGAAGGCGGACCCTGTGGTAATTCCGATATATCAGGGCGAAGGCGGACCCTGTGGTAATTCCGATATATCAGGGCGAAGGCGGACCCTGTGGTAATTCCGATATATCAGGGCGAAGGCGGACCCTGTGGCAATTCCGATATATCAGGGCGAAGGCGGACCCTGTGGCAATTCCGATATATCAGGGCGAAGGCGGACCCTGTGGCAATTCCGATATATCAGGGCGAAGGCGGACCCTGTGGCAATTCCGATATATCAGGGCGAAGGCGGACCCTGTGGCAATTCCGATATATCAGGGCGAAGGCGGACCCTGTGGTAATTCCGATATATCAGGGCGAAGGCGGACCCTGTGGCAATTCCGATATATCAGGGCGAAGGCGGACCCTGTGGTAATTCCGATATATCAGGGCGAAGGCGGACCCTGTGGCAATTCCGATATATCAGGGCGAAGGCGGACCCTGTGGTAATTCCGATACTATCAAGGCGAAGGCGGACCCTGTGGTAATTCCGATATATCAGGGCGAAGGCGGACCCTGTGGTAATTCCGATATATCAGGGCGAAGGCGGACCCTGTGGTAATTCCGATATATCAGGGCGAAGGCGGACCCTGTGGCAATTCCGATATATCAGGGCGAAGGCGGACCCTGTGGCAATTCCGATATATCAGGGCGAAGGCGGACCCTGTGGTAATTCCGATATATCAGGGCGAAGGCGGACCCTGTGGTAATTCCGATATATCAGGGCGAAGGCGGACCCTGTGGTAATTCCGATATA